TTTATTTTATTTTTTGTTCAAATGTAGATATGATAGCTGTCTACACGAAAATTAAGCCTAGAAAGTGTATATTTTGTTCGTATGTTCTACATTTAAGCGTCAATATCGTACAAAAGCGTGTTTTTACGGCTCGAAATGAACTTGCGAATTGCGCGTCTTCACAAGCTTGGAAATAGTTTTTTTCTTTTTTTCAACGTTCCCACATAAAAATGAAATACAGTATTTCCACCCTGATATATTTATTGATTATTTAAATTTTATTATAGGCGGCAAGCTACATCGGAGGAGTTCCAAAAAGAGAAAGCAACACTTCTTAACAGACCAGCAGGTGTCGTAAATTTTTAACGTGTAGGAGTCGGCAGACGTCTTATTGATTCGGGGCCCCCATTGGCCTGCATGAACGTCCCGCCCTTTCGGAGCCAGCAGATGACCACGACCTTTCGCTCTCGTTGTGTTAGATGGGACGGCCCGTGACAGTAAAGCGAGCAGCGCACCCTTTGTCACGAGGAGTGAAATGGTACGATTTTGTCGTTGACGCGGCGAACAGTGACAGCCACCCAGGAGGAGTCTGTCAGAGTATTGCACAAGGGAAAGCAAAGGAATCGTTGCCTGAAAGGATGAGGACACCACGGCCTTACAATGTCGACGGTCAACAACTGTTCTGCCAGCCAAAACAACGCCGCGAGCGCGCTAAAACCGGCGGCGCGGGACAGAAATCCCGCAGACGCACACACGAAGATGGGCCGGTTTCATTAGGGATGGGGGGAAATTTGAAACCAGCCATCCGTGCATGCGTAAACGATACCGCCTGTTTGCCCTAGCTTCGAGCGCCCTATCCTTACCTTGAAACGGCCGTGCTCTCTCTCTCTCTCCGGGGAGATCCGATAGCACCGAAGGGTTATCTATTAAACTTGAGGAAGAAAACGAGAAGGGAGTGTTTAAGTTTAATTATCCCCACCAACCCGCTCGTTCTGTCCTTATAAAGGGGTATCTCTTTTGGAAACAGCAAAGCCCGGAGACTGACATTAAAACGAGCGTGTTGGTAAATATACTTGTGTTTGTATTCTGCCCGGAGACTAGTTGGGTCGAAGTCGGCCTCCTTGTCAACTATAACCGTTTGTGAAGAGTGGGCTTCTCCCGAGATGAAACGTTAGCGCCGGTTGACGTGTTCTTTTGAAAAACGGAAGGGGAAAGAGAAAGTTTGAGTAACTGCAGAAACTAACTCGAAAGCTCCTCTCCCGATATGAAGCTTGAAGCATAGTCTCGGTTACCTTCTCGCGCATCGCCTGCTCGAATCTATTCTTCACTTTCTTTCGTACAGCCACTGTTCCGCACAGCCGTCGTGGATGTGCGTAATAGAGGGAGGAACAGATTCGAGCATCATCTGGACGCCGTCATCCTGCCAGACTTGAATGTCGTGGGACCGACTCGTGTGTGTTTCTTCGCCCCGCTGAACTTTGTTTCTCGGGTGCGATTTTTTCTGAACGTTTTTTTTTTTTTTTTCAATGTTTTCTTATTAGCTGTTAGCACTGTTCAGTTGTTGGGTTTATTTCGTCATGGCGTAGCGGCCTGGCAGTGATGTAGAGAGCGTGTTCGCACGCATTTGGTTGCGTCCCGTTTAGGGAATGCCCGGGGGAGTTGGTTTTTGTTCTTGCAATGTGCGGCTGAGTTTTCCCGTCTTTATTAAATTATTGATTTTTTTTTTTTTTGTTTTACCTTTACGTGTCATCGACTTTTTTGTCTGACTCTCCACCAGGCGTGGACCTATCGCCTTGTCACCGCTCGAACCTAAATACTTTATTATTATTTTTTTAACGCAATTTTCGTTAAGATCGGAGTTGGGCAATTTAATTCCTATTTATTTATTTTTATTTCCTACCCCTCTCCATGACACACCCTCTGTGTGTTTTGTACCGTTTCTGTGTCACCACTTTTGTGTATTACGGAAGTGAAAGGACATTCCCTGGTGACCTGTGCGATGTGCGGTGAACAAGCCCCAGTGTTTGGTTTCGTAAAGAATTGTATATAATATATCGACGATGTGGTGACTTTCTTTGTCTTAGTAATATGACAGCTAATAGCTAGTCGTGCTAGTTTACTTTGAAAGGTTTATAAATCGAAACAATACAACGTCTGTGCCTCTTGGTTATTGAAAGTCTACTAGGCCTGCTGATTTGGTTAGATATGTATCTCATGGTTCCCGCTCTTACCAAAACATACATAAATATTCAATACCACAAAATCTGTTTATAATTGATTACAAAATGCAGAAGAAAATTCAAAAAAACTTTTTCACAATTCATAGAGACGCATGGGTCGCTATGTCTGACTTAGGTCTTGCAAAACAAAGACGTCTTTTTCCGATATTGTGGCCTAAATATAAAACATGCAAACAAAATATACACTTTCTAGGCTTGATTTTCGTGTAGACAACTATCATATCTACATTTGAACAAAAAATAAAAAAAATTAAAAATGAGTTTTTTGAGAAAATCAATTTCAAAAATGGTACTTTTTGTTTTTTGCATAATAGAGAGTTTTAGCTTACCGCGTACCGGGCGACCGCCGGGGTTACCGCGACCGCGACCATCGAGCCGGTACCGGACCGAGAGCGTAGCGGGTAAAGAACGTTTTAGCATACCGTAACCGCGCCTATGGAAGTTTCTTCTTTCTCCGACGGCTGGAAAAAGTCATGATGATGATAGTGAATACCGGCGTGGTTCGTTTTTAAAGCGGTACATTTATTTGGACAAATGCCGCATAAAAAGACACTTTTAAAAAATATTTTCCTTATTACGAGTAGTTATAGTGGTACTTCCTTGGTATACGACCAAGTAACTTAATTTGTCAGCTAAGCTGTTGGATACTTGTCGCGCCTCAAGCCAAACGCATCCGTCGAGGGCTAGCCGACGCCGTCCCAGTGCTCCGAGTTCTGCAGCGCGAGCTTTCGCTACACGTGCTCCGAGCTGTGGTGCGTTAGCCCACTCGGCCACCGTTCTCCCACGAATGCAAGCAAACAGCATCATCCTGTACGCTGCTTGTTTGCATTCGCAGCTCCATTGCCATCAGCACCAGTCTCTAATGTCGGCTAGGTGGCTCAGGTTGCCGCCCGAAACAAGGGGCATAGCAGTTACCATCCATCTATTCAACCGGCCTGTCCGGCGGCCATGGAAGCCCGGATCTTTGCTATGGACCTCGGGTAGGCGAAAGCCTTTATAGGCCAACCAGAGCCGCTTCACTTGCCCTTTCCCATGTTATGTGGTGCGACGATTGTTTCTAGACGCCTCCCCCGCCATTCCAAAACAGTAAGTGATTAGTCTACGCCGGCCGTCGGAGCCGATGCCCGGCAGTCGCCATTGACGGTAAACGCGGTAAACCGAGTAGCGTGGCATAATTGGCGCATGCGCAGTTCTGCAGTGACGGTCGCGGTAACCCCCCGGTCGCCCGGTAGGCGGTAAGCTAATAGGGAGGTTTAGAATAACGTACGCAATTTTAGCGCACGCTAGCGCTAAATTTAGCGCTTGTAATTAGCGCCCGCGACGCAAGAGAATTTTAGAATAGCGTTTCTCCGTCGCGACGCAAAAGCCCAAGCATCTCGCGCTTGCGACGCCGCCAAGATACAGTCACAATGTTTATTTCACACACGAAATGCTGTAACTTTAGAAAGAAACAAGTTTTTTGGTCCAAAGTACCATTTTAGATTTGTTTAAACACGAGAATGCGACGCGAGCGGTTGACCGGTCGTGCCCGCTTGCGTCGCCTCGGCAAGAGAGGTCTCGTGTACTTACCTTCGCACATCGTACCTTCGCCGAGAAGTGTTCGCGCGTGGCAAGCCTCATGTTGCCGGTGATCGTTGCCGAACCGAGTACAATTTTGTCTCGTATTGAAAATCGCAGTGGCGAGGATGCCGCCGATGTTGCACTCACGACGCCGCCAAAGCAGCCGCCGACATAATCCTGGTAGCCGCCATTTTTGCTTAACTCCGCTCGTCTTGGCTTTAGCCAACTTCTCATCATGAATCCTCCTTGGAGAAGCGCAAAGCGCGCAAAGGCTCTTTGCGTACGCACGCTATTTCCGAGAAATAGCGCACGCTAAAATTGCGCACACAAAGCGCAAAACCTGGTTTGCGTTCGGAGCATGCGCAGTGGCGACGACGCTATTCTTTGCGTGCGCAAAGCTTTAGCGTGCGCTATTCTAAAACTCCCTAATACTCTCTAATATTAACGTAAACGTACCGCAAAGGATATTTTATGCAGTCAAGGCATTTTATAACAAATAGAAAGAGCGTGTTTTGGGCTCTCCGTGGACATAAAAAATATCGGCCTAACCCAAGTAGATCGCCAGTAATTAATTGTCAAAGTTTGTCAACAATTGACCGAGGAGGCGTTTTTGACATTTTTACAGAAAAAAAGCAAAAGGCCTAAAATTATTTCATGGTATTGGAGCCTTTTAAATGTGTCCACAGAGTGCTTCAAAAAAGATAATATAATGTGGACTGAAAATCTATTGCGGGAGATCAAGCGAAACATCCGACCCACGACGGGTGTGAAAAACACTGCTTTTCGCCACGGCCTCTTTAAAGATTCATAAGTCGAGAACAAAAAATCCGACGAACTTTCGGTTTGTGTCGACTGCGGGTTTAGAAACGGCGCCACAACATATATTTTTTTTCATCGAAATTAAAAATTCGACCCTTTTTGCCTGCACGATTTGAGATGAAACCACCCATATATATATTGACCGGAGTTGCCCTTTATTGATGTCGGTTCTAATCTAGACTTCTTGCTGCTCCACCGGCGGCTGGGATTTGCACAGGGGAGCTGATAAGATAAGTGCAACGAATTGTCGCTCTCTAACTTCGACGTTCGACATTTCTCAGAAATGAACGAAACATTAGAACACCTCCCGGACTTGATAAGATTATTATTGTCGCCCTTTGACGTTGACGTTCGACATTTCAGAGATATGAAATATTTGAACGCCTTCCGTACTTGATAATAATGATATCACACAAGATGTGTTATCTTCACCACATGCTGCGAAAGGTCTGTAAACCTTGCACATGTCGGTTACTGATATGTTTCTCCGTCGCGAATTATCGTTGCGAAATTAAACAGAAAGAAGGACTATATAAGATTCGGCGAGAACCGCCGAACCTCACTGAAGATCTCCTCTCGAAAACTGTAGCCATTCGCAGCATCAGCCTCGTCATCATGATGAACGTTCGAGCGGCAACCGTGGCTGTAGCCTTCTTCGTTTTAGTCATAGGTACGTACATGCTCTCATATTATATTCCTAACGAGCGTGTTGGTAAGATCTACTAGATAACAGAAAGTATAAAACAGAGAGAGGACGGAACACAGACGAGTACATTCTTTCAAAAGAATGTACTCGTCTGTGTTTCGTTTTATACTTTCTGTCATCTAGTAATGCTCTGACAGTGCGTATAGACTTGGAAGTATTCTCGTAAACAGTTGCTTCATTAATAATTATAAAATTACTTCAGGGAACTATTTACAAAAATTTTGAAACGTTGCGGTTCATGGAACTGTTTGATAAGGCGAGTTTATCAGAAAAAAAAAAAGAAAGAAAAAGAAACAGCACCAAATATGGCACGGATTGGAGGGTAAAAAAGTGCATGTTTCACCAAACCTTCCTTTGCAAGGCTATGCTCAAGTGCCGCGCTGATATTTTCATGATCACGTGCCCATGGAAGTTGGGGACAGCACGTGTCTCCTACATGACTGTAACAAAAGATATGGAATCCTTTCTATGGGTCGCGAAAACAAAAATAAAAATCTAGCGGACCGCGGCTTTTTATCTTCTCGGCGCCGAGGTTCGCATGACAACGAGTTCGAGGGCACGAAAATAGAATTTATGTCGGATACGAAAAAGGCATTTCCGGTAGCATTCAATGAGTGTAATAGTGAGAATATTACATTTAGCTTCTGCGCTATAGCTGTAATAAAACCTAGGCAAATAAATCAGTTTCTTTTATTTATTTTATTTTATTTTGCACGTCCGGTGTATAAGTCATAAAATGACTTATACGCAAGTTCTTTTGGCGCTTATTTCCCACGATGTACCAACTGGCCCATCTAAGCATTTTATTGTCATAAAATTAAACGGAATACCCGAGCCAAAATAAAATTGCTGGGCAACTATACAGAAAATACGCACACTCCAGCTGAGTCTCGCGTTAAGATAAATGGGCATCTTGACACTCGATCCAGGTTAAACGGCGACCAAACACCAGTGACGGTTGTGTTGTCCCAAAATACCTGTTGACTACGGTTCCTTTTTTTGTAGCCCTGGTCCCATCAGAAGCCATCTTCAACAAATGTGGCACGATATGTCCGGCCAACGGGGTAAGTCGTAAACCTCCGCGGTCATTCCCGGAGCGTTGAACCACGCGGCGTTGTGACAAGAAGGCGCGAAGGGGGCCAATCGCTGATCTCTACGGAATGACCCAGGTGTTCCTCAAATTCACGAAGCGTAAATAGGTTTCACGGGTCTTCCCCGTCCGAGTACTCACGCTACATTTTCGCATGGAAGCGTTGCCTGCTTTTCGTCATTCCCGAGGGATGTTTTCCGTGGTAGCGATTGGCCGACGAGTATTCTTAAATTTGGAGGAGTGCCGGTGCGTCTACTTTCCCGCAGAGCACTTGCAGAGTCAAGCATGGCCATGACAGGGCGATCCGCGGACACGACTCAGGCGCATGTTCGAGAGATGTTTGCTTCGTTCCCATGTACAGACAGTTTTAGTATATGACCAATCGTACGAGGAAGAAGCACGCCCCAGACGGTGTCTGCACGCTGTTTCTTCTAGGATGTATTAGCAGATTAACAGCGCCTTAAAACTTCATGTTCGGTGTTACAGAGAAATTTGTTTTCGTGGAAACGTTTTTTTTTAATCTTTTTTATATTTTTGATTACTCCAGCTTGCCTGTGGGGAGTTTTTGGGGTGGAGGGGTAGACACATGGTCATTTTTTTAGAGTAGTCGCTGGACAGCTTACGAAACGCGGGGCGTGGCCTAACTTCAGGCTTCTTGCTTCGTGATTGGTGCTTCAGCGTCTTCCTCGGCCAACGTTGCAATCTGATTGATTGCGGAACGATAATGAGATGCGTGGGACTCACCACGTATCTTGCCTTTTTTCGGCTCTTATGTGACCATAAAGACGTAAGACTGTCAAACATATAAAACAGCGCAAAAAAGACGAGGGCAAGAAGTATACAGGACAAGCGCAAACTTTTAACTAGTTTTACTCAGGAAAAGCAAGCATATATATATACACGACAGGCAAAGCAGCACCACATAAAATTTGACTAATTTTGTGCACGATCATTCAAAAACTGAAACTCGTTACTATGAAGTACAATAGAAGTGTCGCTGACACATGCCGTCCCACTTTTTTTGATAAAGACTGATTCCAATAGCTCTCAAGCGACCGTCTCTCGTCTTCTACCCAGAATCCTTATCTGCTGAAATCGCAGAACGCAGCCACACGTGTTGCAATGTATTGGCAAATGCGAGCCATATTTATTTTTTACTGATATAATGCGTGCTCCCGTGCTCGGTCACTGATGCACCGCCCCGTCTGGCCGATGTATATTTTACCAGAACTCAGTGGGATTTCGTAGACGACACCCACTGTGCAGTCCACGTAAGGGGTGACGTGTTTCTTATCACATGGTGCTTTTGCCTTCTCATCAGAAATGCGGGAGCACAACCCAGCCAACTTCTATAGGGCAGAGAACACAAAGGGAACATCGTACTTGTTTTCCACTTTCTACTTCTGGGGCCCTAAACTCGTCAAACACAAAGTTGGGGTCGAAGTTCACGGAGCGCGCCGATTGGACTATACCGACGATGACTTGGCGCTTTTTTCGTCAGCGTCCAATCGGCGCGCTCCGCGAACTTTCGGCTCCAACTTTGTGTTCGACGAGTTTAGGGCTCCTCGAGCCCTAAACTCGCCGAACACAAAGTTGTAGCCGAAAGTTCGCGGAGCGCGCCGATTGGACGTCGACGAGAAAAACGCCAAGTCATCGTCGTGATTGTCCAATCGGCGCACTCCGTCAACTTCGGCTCCAACTTTGTGTTTGACGAGTTTAGGGCGCCTGGTCTTTTTGTTCTCTGCCTCCTTGGGTCTTTTCTTTTCAACCCCTTCATTTCTTTTGTAGGGCGGATCGAGCCAATGACTAAGCGTGAAACGTGGCGCGAAAACGCATCTGCCTTGCAGAGATAATGAGCATGACGCACTGCTCGCTCGTTCTCTGCGGACAAATCGCTTTTAAGGCGAAAGCATTGACTGTCGCATTCAGCGAAGCCGGTGAGGACGGCAACTAAATTCCCATTGGCTGGGCGTCGTCTGTAGCGGCGCAACGGCATCGAAATTCCCATTGGCTGCAAAACAACTGCGTACATTTCGGTCCGGGTGGGAATCGAACCCGGGCCTCCGGGGAGCGAGACGAGCACGCATCCCCGACTCCACGGCGGCTCCACGGTTCCGGCAGATTAGAACTGAGCCGTGCGTCATGCTTTCGCGTTCCCAAACGTAAGCAGTCCTAAGTGTCTCTGCGGAATTTTTGAATCGTGACATCTGGAACAAGATCGATGGTAACAACCAGAAACCCTTTTATTGCGAAACGTCTAGAATAAAGCATCCTGCTTTAAGGCATCTTGAAATAAGTGGAGGGGACTCCCCCTCCAAGAATGCTAGATGCATAGTTGTAAAAGAGGACGACAGTTTAAAACTATTGATTCTTAGACTGTGTCGTTTCCGGCGCCGCCCACCGAACTACACACCGGGCATTGCTTTTTGAAGATTCAATGTTTTTCGCTGAGATTAGTCAGTTTGTTGCGTCTTGCTTAGTCTGTTATATTCCGAGACGGTTAAACTGTAGAGGGCATATCGGTTACCTGCAGCGTTGTAGGTGTTACCGAAAAAAAAAAATAACGAAATACATTAATCGTTAGTTGGAAATAAAGGTTGCCGTCTTTCGTTTCTTGAAAATAAAAGGAACGCGTAACCGTTACGGATAAGAAGAAACGCACGTTACTTTTGCGTTAATTTTTTTTTTTTCAGTCCATCAGACTATAGATCTTTTGATCGACCATAACACGCTATAAACGAAAATTCTCTATCGGCCCGCGAAGAAGCAACGACAAATACTGCAATATTTTGGGATAAATATGTTTTTGTTTTTGTAACTTCTTTAGTTATCTGTTTGGTTTCGTACGTGTGGCATGACGTGCTGCGGTGACTTATCATCTGTCTCCCACAGGCCATGGAAGTCAAGGGCTGCCTTTATAAATGTCCATCGGGAGTCGGCTTTGGAAAGTACAAAGACAACGTCCGGTGCACGGTAAGAACATTGCTCGAGTTGCTATTATTATCGAGTTTCCTATGAAAGTCTTGCGGCATTCTATTTTTGGGGCGATAACGTCGCTTTTTTTTAGCGCCAAATGATTATTGCGAGAAAAGGTGTAGATGAGAAACAGGCCATTACGGTGGCATATGATCCGATAAAAGGAGATAATTTAGAAAGGTCTCACTAACGTAAGACCGCAAGGACCAACTCCGGACAAACCTTCTGAGAAAACCATCTAAAAATAAACTCTCATACGTTTTTCAATGTGAGGAGGTGTATACATACATTGTTGAAGTAGCGAGTGTAATATATGTTTTATAATTGTTCTGTCGATAGTGCCAACACGCCACGAAGGCTAATAACCTTCGCGAGTACTTGGAAAATAAAAACACACATAATAGTTGAGCGGCTCGAAGGTTACGAATTTCGGTTTTCCCCTAATGTTTTACCTTTGATGCTATGACGCAAAGCTGTGTTTATCAGTTTTTATATTAATGTACCTCTGAAGTATAAAACAGGATAACAAATGGTTGATTTCACATCGTACATCAAAATACGAAGAAGTCTGAAACATCGCATAATTAAAGATGTTTCTCAGATACTACTGAGGAGGCAGCAGATCAGAACCAACATTTTTTCAAGTAAAGTTCTAGTGAAGAATAATCATAGAACTACTGTCATTTTACGAAAATGCTTAAGTGTTTTTATATATGATTTTTGATCCGTGCCCTCACAAAATCCATTTTCTTTCCGCAGCCACCGAACAACGCTGGAAGCCCAACGAGGGGTGTCTGCTCCAACGGGTTGTGCCTAGCGATCAATGGAGATCTGGAGGATTATCCGTTCCCCAAGGAATGCATCGTCAAGAATCGTTTTTAAGACCCCGATGGTCCCACTTTACCTGTGCTCTTAATCGGGTACACTATATTTTTTTTACGACCTGGTACAGCCAGGATGCACCAGACTAGCTAATAAAAAGTGGTAACCTACCTGCTTCCCAACTCACTGACGTACGTAGAATGACCTTTAAAATCGGAGGGAAGGAAATACATACTTCTCGAAGTATTGGCGACGTGCGCGACTAAAAACGTCGCTGTCGTCGGCCTTCCACGATTGATCAAACGCTGGCTATGACGTCTTGAGTAGGATTATTTCTGCTCTCACGGTGTTGATTTACCGGGAACGTGATGACCAGACTTCCACCGCGCTTTTTACCCATCATGGAACTTGTCGCTCGCTACTAATGATTTCGGTAGTGACGTCAGGTACAGGAAATATAAGAGGACGCCACCGAAGCATTTCGTCGCCAATTGGCGACGTGCGCGACCGAAAGCGTCGCTGTGGTCGGCTTGCCACGATTGGCCGAATGCCGACTATGACGTCAGCAAAGGATTTCTTATCAACGGAAATGAGAGGAATACGAGAACTTTAATTTCGACAGTGTTGGCAGTGCTGCTTTGAGAGCGCAACGATTTCAAGCTTCCACCATGCAAGTAACAAACACCATCGAACTTGCTGTTCGCAAGGTAATGACGTCACGAAAGGTAACCTAATGAGGGCTCCACTGAAACATCTCGCCGCTAATCGCCGTACCATCTTTGTTTTTTAATTATTATGTAACTAATCAGGGGCATTTAAATAATGCGCGTTGTGTAGATGAAAGACAACAATCTCTATGGGTGCTCTTGGGCACTCATGTTAATGTTGTAATCGTCAATCCGTTTCTTCGAGGAGTTATCCGTTTCTCAGCATTTAGTGTAAAGTATAAGTACTCGTACATCGAGTTAATAACTAACGTTCAAATATTGGGCACGTAAATGTAAGTTAGCATGCAATGGACGTGTGAAGTTTCAGCCCGCGCGCTGTCCTCAAACCGACCGCAACCCAAATCTCATCGTAAGGAGGTCATTCAGCCTAAACAAACTAATATCTCTGTGTTTGAAACTTTCAAACTATCGTTTTCGGCACCATTAATTACATTCAACTCGCGTACTATTCAAAGCCTCTGCCATCCCGAAATGCATACGTCAAAGAAACGAGTGAATGCTGCCCTCCAAATCTGAAGCTTCCGAATGAACGGTACCTTACAATATAAAACAGCTAGATATTCTTGTACGAATAATGCGAAGGGATAAACGACTCAAACAATTGAATTCTGGCGCGAAGAAAGGTCGGTCGTGCTAACGGAAGACGAGGAGTAGGCAATCGAACATCAAGTTGGTGGCAGTCCCTAAAACCGCGACAGTACCCGAGAAGCACGACTGGGGACGTATTTGAATCGCATGAACCTTTGCGTACTCCGTTTTTATTTTCCTGCCATCCCGCGGCGCCTCCCCCGAAGCCATTTTGGCGTCCGATGGGCCGGCTGTCTGTATCCTGCAAAGAGCGACTATGCTCTGATGCTCTTAATTTCGCCAACTATCCCGGCTGGTGCAGTCGGTCGCAACTGAAGAAAACTTTAGCGAGCTTGAAACCATTTTTGTCACAACAACTATTTTTTCTTTTCTTTCGTTTCCATTTTTGTACTTTCTAAGCTGGGACCCACCCAATACGGGTTAAGCCATCATAACCTAATTCAATCGTATCTCACGTATTTTCGCTAGAATTCGAGTCGGATGTACTTGCGTCACCTGAAAACGGCCACTGAAGTGCACCCGGTGCACCCGAAGTGGCGCAAATAGCCTTTTCCAAAAGTTCCTCGAGCGACATTGCCGGCCGCCATTACTGGGCCACGAGGCGTGTGATTGGATCCGAGTCCTCGCCGAACGCTGACGGAGAACTAGTTTGCGATACGATTTGAGCCGAGTCCACGCCGAGCGCTGATGCAACCCTCGTATTTAATACAAGCTCAGAGTACGTGGCCAAACAATGGCGGACTCGGATAATAAGCACAGCTGCTACTATATGGCGCCACGTACCCTACCAGTGGTCTCAGATGTCAAACACCGCGTTCAACAAGGACGATGATTTTATTTCCACGTAAATCTCGCGTAGTAGTCTGCGATGCATAAAGTAAGTTGGTCGTTCCTTTTCGTGCGAAAAACCCGCCAAAAGTTTTGCGCACGAAACAGCAGCGTGCATCCTTTGCCTTTTTTTTTTACATGAAATGTACAAGCCGTATTGGCACGGGGAAGACATTGGAAGGGGCTTTGATTTTGAACTCTAGAGCCTAGAAGAACTTATCCGCTCTTGGCGACGAGCCACTCGCCTATCTTCTCGTAGTTCTTGTCCATCCACCGCATGTTGAACTCGGCCCTCTCTACGGTCTGTCTGTAAGTTCGCTCTATCGACGAAACGGTTCCTTGGTTCTGTTTGTAGAAGGTCTTGAGCTGAAAACAAAAGAAAGAAACCAGGAAAATACACGACACAGGTTCATAACGTCACAAGCATATATCCTCGAACCAATTTGTGTTTGTTCTCGTAACCAGGCACGTACGCGTTACAAAGAAATATGAGCTACATACCATTCTTCGTTATACTCACTCGAAAAGTGACTATACCCCGTTTCACCTTATGTTGTACCGCGGCGAAGGCTGGAAGCGCGAGCTCATAGCGTTGACAGCTGCCCTTAGTGCACGAGAGCTTGTGCCGCCGAGATATGCCCTAGAGCAAAGAGGTCGCGCTTCTAGCCTTTCCTGCGGTACATCATAAGGTAAAATAGAGTACAGTACTTACATAGTTGAAAACCCTGAGCTCGCCTGCGCTCTTTCCCTTCTAGTAAGTACGTTACTCGTTAATGCGATTCGGAAGGAACGCGTTACCTCAGCTGGACAGTAACGTGGTATTTTCTCGCTTCTAGGAGTGTGCCGTTTTTATGAAGCGTTAATATATCCTCGCTTTCTAACGAGTTCATTTAGGGATAGCTACTTTGACATACCTTGTGCACATATTTATGGTCTATCCAGAGCTTTCTCGTCGCGCGAATTACAGAACTTGGTCGAATGTTACTCGTTTCTTTCCTTAGAACAGGAAATATTCGTCTGCTTCTAGCACAGGGGTTGCGATGATGTCAGAACGCCAAGTTCTCATTGGCTGATTGAAAAAAAATAGTGATTAGACCTCCAGGCATCTAGCATTGCGGTCTACGCACTATCCTTAAAAAAAGATCCAATTAGAGCTTGTCGTCGTTATGATGTCACCGCAACTCCTGAGTAAGAAGCAGACGACTTTCACTCCGCATACTCGTTTTCAGCTTACAACAAAAGCCCTGCTCCTCGCGGAGAATCATTTCCTCCTTTATGAAGAGAAATAAGATGCACGTACGAGCGCTTTAGATTAGATATATGCTATCTTATTAAGACTTATACGCTGCCAAAGCCCAAAAGCATGGCTTCTTTCTTCGACAATGAAATCTTCTACGAACTATTCCACGCGGCGTATGACCATTGCCGTGCAAAACTTGTTTTCTTTTTCTCTTCAGCTGAAAACGAGTAAAGGTCGGTAATTCGTTACCGAGGAAGGAAACTAGGCGCAAGTAACGGGTTACTTTGAACGCATTACGAACGAGTCTGCTCTTAACAAACTCTCGAAATGAAAGAAGAAATTGACCGCGACGGCGAAATGTCTAGCCTTGTATTACGTTTGTAAGTTGTAACCGAAGCTGTCAAATTGGAAAATCTTCGCGACAAATAGCAAGGACATTAACATTTTTATGGCCTTGCTATATATTAACCTTGATATTTTTGTTGAAAATCTCCTGCACTCGAAAAAAAGCCTGTGCGTCTTCTTTCCCGCAAAACACTCGGCGAGCCAATCAGCGCAACTTCCGGAGACAGGTCAGCGAATGACGATGCCGAAACATATGTTTAGACCAAAAAACGCAGCCTGAGTTGTGGCATTAAGTAATGCAAAACGCCAGGCTTGCATTGCTTAATGTCACAAGTCAGAGTGCATTTTTTGGTCTAAACATGTTTCGGCATCGTCATTGGCAGAGCTGCCTTTATAAGTTACGGTGATTGGCTCTCCGAGTGTTGGGCGGGAAAGTAGACGAATTGGTATTTCTACGAGTGTGTAGAAGCTGAGCTGCGGAAGTGCGAGCTCGCTGGCTTCCGCAGTGCTTTAGTTGCGCATGCCTGCACGTTCACACTGGTGTTAGCGAAAGCAGAAAGCTCGCGCTAAAGGCGGAGCTTCTATACTTCGTTTCACCTTCGGTGCGAGCATGGCCGATGTTATGAGCCGAAGGGCCAATCAAACAGCTTAAAAAGCGCAACGTCATGGCGTACTCTCTGCACTTGATAGGATTAGCCGGCGGAGTAGCACGCACAGAGAGACGGCGAATACCGACTGGTCCTATCAACTGCCGAGAGCACGCCATGACGTTGTGCCTCTTTCGCTGTCTGATTGGCACTTCGGCTCATAACATCGGCCGCGCTCGCACCTAAGCTGAAACAAAGTACAGTCTCAGCTTAAGGGTGAACGGAGTATAGTAACAAGCCGGCAATCTTTGGTTGCAAGTTTTGACTAACCTCCGTCACACGTCAAAATTGACGTAATTTCCAGCTAGGGCCATTCCGATCACGAACGACTCTAAGCTTAAACTCTGTCACACGGAACGTTTTAATGTCGTGTAGCTCGAGGATGATGATTAGGTTAATCTACTATAGTAAACTGTTTGTGTATCGTTTTCGGAAAATAAAACGGGGTTTCAGGGTTGACAATGTCTTCAGTATTCTTTAAATATAATAGTACGCTTTTTTTTCATACAGTAGTAGTTCAAATTTGACGCCAGTTGGCGTAAAATGCGAAAGAAAATGGAGCCTGTGATATTATAACTCTGATCAGAACGTCAGATAGAACCCTAAAATGAACAAGAATGGAGCTTACTTCTTATTTTAAGGTACAAAAAGATAGCGTGTTTGGTAGAGAAGAGAACCGTGTTTTTATCACTGAAAAAATGAGCTACACGTCGCAGAACGCTCAGTTTAGGCCCAAACGCCATTGCTAGCGAATGGGACTACATTCCACAGCTTCAAAATCTTTTTGTTGTCTCGTACAGAAGCTTCATTTTCGGAAATTTTTAGTGAGAAAACGGTCAGCAAAATCTGAGAATACGGAAGAACGGAGTACGATACCGGGAATAGGCCCTGAGTATTTGCTCGGAACAGAACGCAAGAAAGTGCGTATAACTTTCGGAAGGATTGCGGTAAGTCCTAAAAGATTCGTCATCTGATCGTAGTCACTAGCGGCATATATTTTGGCCGAGACTGAGGGTTCGCCGATGCGCAGTTTATTACCGCGGCGCGAAAAAATGCGGTTTTCTATTGTCCCAAACACGCAGTAGTTCTATGAAATTCTGTTATGTAAAACCCCTGAATGCCAGAAAAACGAATTTATCTGTATAACGCACATAAATACTAACATTTAGTTTGCCTAATTTTGTTCCTACAATTTCAAGGGCTGTTCTTCACTGTGGCTCTGCCGTCGGGATTTCTCATTTCTCAACTCTACCTCCGCCAAGGCAGAGGTAGAGCTTCTGAAAGAGGAGTTGGAGCGGTGAGCTCAAGTTTGTTCTGCGCTTTTTCTTTTTCCGGCGGTGTTTCCTTTCCTTTTTTTTTAGGGACGATAGGATTCTTCCTTGTTTTTCTTTTAATTTTAATTGCAGTATCTTGGGTCTTTCTTTTTTCCTGTTTTTAACGGCGTAATTTTTTGTTTCGGGGGTTTTCTTTCTCTTTTTTCGAGGGTTGGGTTGGAGAAGCGCTGACCCATTGAGGAGGCATCATAAAGGTCGGTTGCTAATTGAAAGAACTGTCCCGTCTGTGTGTGTCCGTCCCTATGTGTTTTATTTTTTCGTGTTTCAAGTAGTTTTACCGAACTTAGGTGGTAGCAAAGAATGTCATGTTCAGCTCATGTCTTTAAATGTTCCTGTGTGGCAGCGAACAACTCAGGTCCGAGGCGAATGTCATTCCCTGGAAATGACATTAATTCTGCCGTGTGACAGGGGCATAAGTCGCCGTGTTTATATTTGCCATAACGTCGTAGCTTTCCGGAAGATCGCAAGATCCCGTATTCACAATTTGGGTGCTAAGCACGCGATTATACTTCAAATATTGCGGCGACCAAAAAACCCCAAGAACACATAAAATGGAAGAAAAAAATTTTTTCCCCCACCGATCTTTGGCTTTCGCGTTGTCAACAGTTCTTTAGTTTGTCGATGTCTTTGAAAGTTATTTCTGGCTCCCCATTTCTACCAAGAGCAGTAAGTGGCTCAGTTAATCAAACATGAACATTTTCGAGTACGTCTGGAAGTGGGCATGGCGTCTCCAATGATGTAGGAGCAAAGCACTTTACCTGATCCAGCTCGAACCGAGAACGGATGTTCCCTGTCGCCGCAGAGAATACCCGCGGCAGGGTAAATGCGCTGCCCGCGTACCTGCAATGGTGAAAGTATTCCTACCTGTGAGAAATGTCAGCATTCTCGTTCATTATTTGTGGTCTCACTGCACCGCTTTTGATTCGTTGACTTTTGACTTTTCCGCAAAAAAGGTTTGACTGAGCAGATTCTTCCGCGACAAGATGCACGGAAGAATTTCCGTGCATCTAGTCGCGGAAGAATTTGTTCGGAAGTGGAACAAAATACTTAATGGAAACGTGTCTGGTGATGTGGACATTGTTAGAAGGAAAAAAGAAGATGACGCAAAGAAGGGCACGAGAGAGTTTGGGCAGAACAGCCTGCGGCCGACAGCCAAGACTGGGCGCTTGAGGCACGCCGCAAGCCAGGACTAAGCTAGCAGGATGTGTGCCACAAGGGTGCCGCTTTATCTACGTTACCGGAAGACTGCTTCCGTCATCGGCACGCTGCGGGACGTCCGTATTCAGGACCGAGAGGAATCCAAACCCGCCCTCTCTCCGGTGTCCCACCATGGTACACCCTCCGCCATCGCCTCTCCCGAAGAAACACCCCAACCAACCCCCAGAGTCCCAGACTGACGACAAGACGACAACCAGTTGCCCTGAATCTTCGAACTGATCCGGACTTTGTAAATTTGTCGAGTTCTTGTTTATTGTTAATTTTTCGCCTTTAGTTTCTTTTCTTTTTCTTTTTTGTAATACATATTGTGGATTTTTCAGGTCTCGTCTCTGGGTTTTATTTTCATCTTCCCTCGAGTTTCGAACGTTCACATTACAACGCGCGTTTAAACGCGAACCAGAAACGGCAAGTGAGAGACATGGCCGCCATTTCAAGAAACGACTCACATTTTGTGGATTTGGGCCCAGTTGCTCAAAAGGAAGTTGAAAGCGATGCTTCGTCCGTAGACGGAGCTCCCCACTGAAGTAAAGACCGCAGCGCCGTCCTGGCGACGGATTCCGGAACTCGGCGTGATGACCTTCTCCAGGAAACTGCAAAGGCGCGAAAGAGGAGGTGGTACATAGCTAGGGTTGAGATTTTTCGGTATAAAGCGAGTATGCCGAATCCATTTTCGGAAATTCGGTTTTAACCGAAAACGGTCAGTTTGTAGGTTCGGAATTTTCGGTTTAAACCGATAAAAGTACGTCTAATTCATTTTGTAAAATTCGGTTTTAACCAAAAAGGTCACTTTTTTTAGGGCCGTGTTGAGGTGGCTAGGGGCAGGGTGGGGAGGGGGGAGAGAGAGATAGAGACAGAGAGAGGGCTTTGCGAGGTTCGACATTGTGATTGCCCTCTTTGTGATTGCCCTCTTCCGAGGTTCAACATGCAACAAAATAGGTCTTGGATTGGCCTTCGCGGGACATTTGTGTCCTTTCTGTGATTGGGCATAGCGTGCCGAGTTCCCGGTCAAAAAAAAAAAAAGTTTGGGTGTTGGCTAGTATAAGGTTTTTCGCTTCGTGCACTCCAGGGGACACCGAGGAAAGGCGCCAATACCTTTCTTAACACCCTCAGACGGTCGCGTCGTCAGAATGGGAAGGAAAAAGGAGCGCGCTGAAGATTATGCCCGCGAATTCCGCGATTTTGAAGTGTGTCCTCACAAAAGTTGTAGCGAGGACCACGTATGTTTCTGTGTCATTATTCTGCGAGTGATCACAAATATCAGAGCTACAAGGATCTAGTGATCCGGTGTCCGATAGCGTTTCTTTCATATTCACCGGAAAAAACGGTAACCTTTCGTGGGCATAAATATACAAAAAAAAATTGAATTTTAAAATAAACACCGAAAAAGGTACGCCGAATTTCGAAAAAATGAAAACCGAAAACGTGGAACCCTATATATAACTAACCCCCGTTTGGCCAAAACCGGGGCTGGCACTGCGCGTGCACAGAAATGCAGATTAGCGTGAGGTGAACCGTCTGCGCATGCGCTGTAGTAACAGCAGTGACACCACAGCGGCCTGACGTCAGAGTCGCCGACGAGTTGGACCTACACTATCGACACCTCTATCTGTATAGCAAGGCCTGCAGTGCTGACTTCCCGGCGTCATCCAAAGGAGGCCAACGCGGGCCAGAGATTGAACACCAGTGCCTCCGGAACGTAAATAAATAAGAATGAGCGTTTTCATTTTTATATTGTGCTCAAACGTGAGTGTCGCTGAGAAATCCGAATATTTGTTTTCCTCATGCGACTGTCATAGTGATGTCCTTGTGATGTTCTACTGGCTACTGGCTACATTGACGTTTTGTTCCATACCCATCATTTTGAAGCTTAGTAGCTTCGTTTTTGCTAGTCTTTTATCGCTTTTACTAACAGCCCGTCCAACAAATCCTTCATCGATAAAAAATTCATTCTGCTTCTACTGGTTTCAGTAAAAAAGACATTGCCAATGGCGTATTTAGATTTTTTTTAAAGATATATAACACCGCGCTTTATAGACGTCACTGGTACGTTCATTTCATAAAAAATAATTTTATGGGCTATTTTATTAAATCTTTTTGACAAATCCTTGCTAAGCATTCTCTGAAAGCGACCCTAAAAATCTAGTTATCTAAATGTATACTGTTACCTGGTCAATATCCAGGGTTCCTTGGAACATCCCAGACTGGAAAGTATCTTGGACTTTTCTGAAGCATCCTTGGTTTCGTTGTACGTCCGCCACAAAAATTGCCAGTCGTCATAGTCTCCGTGGGCGACTGCTGTGCAGTAAACGAACGGCCGGTAGTCCGGATTGATTCTGCGAGGAAACAAGAAAACCGAACGTTGTTTAGCGCCATCTAGTAACCACGCAATTTCACTTTTGCTTCTCCCTTTAGGAAATGAGAAATAAAACACTCGCCGACATATTGAAAGATCTATCCCTCGTTTGATTTGGATCAGATCGTCGGATAAAGTAGGCCGGGACTGTAATACCGAGATGGAGAAGCATGCCTACCCTCAAGACGAAAAGGAGTTAACACGATTGCACACTTCGTGCAGTGAGGATGCGCATTTGGGACATGCCTTTGCGACTTTTTACTTTTTATTTGTTTATATGTTGACTCGTTCCAGGATCTCGTGCAGGCCTCGCTGTCCTTTTTTTTCTGTTTGCTTTTTCTTTTCGGACCATTTACTGGTCTGCAGTATATAATAAAATAAAACAAATAAGATGAACATGAACACGAACACGAACAACGTTTTTCTTCGATCTTTCAAAATCGAGCAAAAAATATTTCATACGAATTGACGTGCCCCTCATACCCGCATACAAAAAAAAAAAAAAAAAGAAAAAAGAAAAAAAAAAAAAGAAACGTCAACTTCAGAAAGCGCGAAAAATAGAACAATTTCGTTCGTCGCGGTCACTCGTGAATTTGACCGAACTGCTGTGGATCGGCCCACTTCCTCGCTCCCGCAATGGGAGCCGTGTTGTTTGCGCTCACATGTCACTCGTCTGAATTGCTTCCTTTTTCCTTTTACGACATCAGTTAGAAAATGCAGCGTCACCAAGGCGGCTCAAATACCCCACGCACGTGCATCCATGGAACGTTAGAACGGCCGCCGAATCAGGCATTTGGGCTACCATCGTTCGCTGCAGGTTCAGAAAAGCAGGGCAAGCCTCCCAAAGAGTCCCCCACCCCTTCCATTTTGTGCAGCGGACGCTGGAGAGGAGGAAACAACCAATCGTGGCGAACAGAGAGCTCGGGGGGAGGGATTGTCCCGCTTTTCTTAATTTTCATTAATTTTATCGCAAAGGCATCTATCGATGCATTCCACGAGGGTTGAAGCGAGAAAGTCTAAGAGCAACTTAGGGTAAACAATGTGGCGGACGGCAAAGGCTCACGGGCAGGAATGCCTCCCGGTATACTTACGGGTTGGAGCCCTGTGCGTTGCTTCTCCATGACTGCAAGAGTCTGACCGCATGGTCGACGCAGTCCTTCTGGCCGTACTTGCAAGCAATCGAGTAGGTGTCCGCTCGCAGGTAGCTGCAAAGCCCCAGGTTGTCGTCACTGGCGATTCCAAGTACGCCCACATCGGTGGCTCGATATCGCGATGCCACTTCGCCCAGATATCAAACACAGCGACTACGATAAACTCCACCAGGGGCCCTAAACTGGACAAACACAAAGTTGGACACGAAACTTGGCGTAGCGCGCCAATTGGACGTCGGCAAGAAAAGCGCGAAGTCATCGTCGTCATGAGAGAATCGGTGGGCTCGGTCAACTTCGGCCCCAACTTGGTGTTTGACGAGTTTAGAGGCCCTGAATGCACTCACCGAAAGGTCCGGAAGAATACTGCGCCAGGATCTACTCGGAACACCAATCACGGTTTTTGTTTAAGCCAACGATAAGGGCCAAGGGTATCGCACCAATGGCCACGAAGTCTTAATGGCGAATACGCCCTTATTGATACAGAGGTAGCATAGGGTTCTTCGTGCGTGATGTCCCACGTCGTTCTCATTGGCTGGGCTGATTAAAGGAACACCAGTGATTGGTCCTCCCGGTACATCGCGGTAAAATACCTCGCGAGAGTGCATGCACTTTCCACAAACAGAATCCACGCAACTGATACTCCGTTTCACCCCTAACTTGATAGGGTTCAAGGAAACTATACGCGCTGGCTGGACCAATGCAGCGCCTTCCTTGCATTGTCCGACCCCACTTTCTGCAAGTGGGTACAAGTGGGAGCTTGATCCATTAAGCACGTAGCTTCCACTGCCATCTCATCATAGAACGGAGTATATAAAGTAAACCCTCAGAAATGGTCTAATGCATACTTTCTTGCGGCGCACTAGAAGAACAAATCATAAATCTCCCCTTAGTCAGAGTAGTCTGCGAGAAGAGCGAGCAGTATTGCGTTTGAGTGGTCGTGCACCCACGTGAAACAAGGCATCTACCCTTTTCGTTACTGGGGCTGGGCTTACCGTCCTCGCAAGCTAAGCTCGATAAAGAGGCATTAATAACTGGCGCATTGTACGAACCGCGGAAGAGCCCACGTGAAGGCCTTTCTAAAAATGTATGGAGAGCAGCGAAATAAGAAGCATCAATCACGATTGTGTTTGACGGTGTCATCTGCGCCATGGTTTTGCAGGTCAGTGCCTCAACGCGGAGCTTTTTGTCTTTTTGTGAGTCTACACGTTTATGTTGCTTTGCCATTCGAGGTTCATCCTTCTGTAAATACGGGGATTGGATTCAATGCACTCTACGAGGGGGAAACAGAGGCGAGAGCTTTGTTAAAAAATATAATATTGGGAAATGTTTTAAAGTTAGAACTATATATGGCGAGCAAGGAGTCAATTCCCTAGTTACCCTTTTTCCTGTTTTTTTTTTGTTTTTGTTTTTTTTAGCTGAGCGTTATCGAAGACTAAGTGCATTAATTTTCAGTGTTCCCCTCAAAATTTCGAATGAAATTAACATTTTTGGAGGCGCGTAACATCAGGTTTGAAAGAGAGAAAAAAAAAAAAGACGTTTTTCGAGACAATTATGTGGCTTGATAACGGGTATCGTTGTTTTATTTTTCGCGGAATGTCAACGTTGCGCATTGAGATTATCGCTTCATGCGTGTCTATTTATTTTTATTTACTTCGCGCGTATGGCTGATTATTGGATGTCCCACACCAAGGACTAGCTCTGTACTGGGACGAATGACTCGTCAGACTTTGCAGCCTTCTGTCTCTACCCCCTTGCCGGATGTACACCAAAACTAATTCAATAAATATTGTCACGGGTGGCGACTAATAAACAAGAAATAAACAGAAATAAATAAACGTTTAATGTGGCGAACTTGTGCCAAAAATAAAGAAGGAAACAGAAGAAAGCAGAGCGTCGCGGGCGTCGAAGTCGGCGTGTCAGCAGAATCGAGCGCTGGGGCGAGACTGACTCGACAAGGTCGCGAGCGGCGTCTTATCTAGAGTGAGTCGCTATCTCGAAGATTCGGCGGAGAAGGTTCGAGCGTAGCGCGCTCGTGGCGAGAATGAACACGCACTTTCTAGAACAACATAAGCAGGGATAAATGACAGAAGCAGTCCGGAGCAAGAATAAACGAGAAAGTTCTAGAAGTCCGTGACCCTGCGCGCGGCATTATCCCCCCCTTTAAAAGCGCATCGTCCCGATGCACCACAAAACGAAAAACACAAAAAACAAAAACAAATCCAAAACAAAACGGCAGCAGAATCGCGAGCCACAGTTGACAGTTCACAGAGTTCACAGTTCACTCGTCGACAAGAGTAGAAAGTTCTATCGTTCGTAATACGGCTTCAGCCGGACGACGTGCACCACCTCGGGTCGCGGCTGACGTCTTGCAGATGGGCGCATTCCGTCGGGAAGGACTTCGTAGTTCAGATCGCCGAGCCGTCGGATGATCTTGTAGGGCCCAAAATAGCGTTTCAGAAGCTTCTCGCTGAGACCGCGGCGACGGATGGGCGTCCACACCCACACCCTGTCTCCGGGCTGGAAGTGGACGTCCCGACGACGAAGGTTGTAGCGGCCAGTGTCGACACGTTGTTGGGCTTGATTACGGTGTCTGGCGAGCTGGCGGACTTCTTCTGCCCGTTGGGCAACCACCTGGGCGTCGTCGCTTCCGTCGAGAGCCGGTTCGTGGGGTAACATCGCGTCCAGCATTGTCGTTACTTTACGACCATGAACCAGTTGGAAGGGTGTCACCCCGGTGGTCTCTAGCACGGCCGTGTTGTAGGCAAATGTGACGTACGGCAACACCTCGTCCCATGTCTTGTGCTCCACGTCGACGTACATGGCGATCATGTCGGCGATGGTCTTGTTGAGTCTCTCCGTCAGCCCGTTGGTCTGCGGGTGGTACGCCGTTGTGCGCCGATGGCTGGTGTGGCTGAGACGAAGGATTTCTAGCGTCAGCTGGGCCATGAACGATGATCCACGGTCTGAGATCAAAACTTCGGGAGCGCCGTGCCGGAGGACGATGGATTCGATAAAGAACTTGGCGACTTCCACAGCAGTCCCTACAGGAAGGGCTTTCGTTTCGGCGTACCGTGTGAGATAATCTGTGGCGACAATAATCCATCTGTTTCCTTGCGTCGATGGTGGGAAAGGACCAAGTAGATCCATTCCGATCTGCTGGAACGGTACGGTCGGGGGAGCGATCGGATGCAGGAGACCTGCCGGCTTCGTCGGCGGTTTCTTGCGGCGCTGGCACTCGTGGCAGGACCGTGTGTAGAAGTGAACTGTCTTCGGCAGCTTGGGCCAGTAATACCTTTCACGAATTCGGGCCAGCGTACGGCTGTAACCAAGGTGTCCGGACGTCGGGTCGTCGTGACAGGCTTGGAAGATCTCCGCTCTAAGGTCGGTGGGGATTACCAGCAGCCATGGTGTGCTGTTGTCTCCGAAGTTCTCCTTGTAAAGTACACCTTGTCGGAGGACGAAAGTCGGCAGGGCTCTCGAGAAGACACGGGGGACAGTACCCCCTCGTCCTTCGAGGTGCTCGATTAGCGCGCGCAACTCAGGATCGTCTCTTTGACGTCATGACATGTCGTCGGTGTTCACTGCACCTAGGAAGCACTCGTCGTCTTCGTCGTTGCTGCTGCCGGAAGGTGTTTGGATGGGGGCTCTGGACAGGCAGTCGGCGTCGCTGTGCTTGCGGCCTGACTTGTAGACCACAGTCATGTTGAACTCTTGTAGTCGTAGACTCCATCGAGCGAGACGCCCTGACGGGTCCTTGAGGTTCGCAAGCCAGCAGAGCGAGTGGTGGTCCGTGACCACACCGAACGGGCTCCCGTACAAATACGGACGAAACTTTGTGATTGCCCAGACGACAGCAAGGCATTCTTTCTCAGTCGTGGAGTAATTTTCCTCCGCCTTGGACAGTGTCCGACTTGCGTAGGCGATAACTCGCTCGGTGCCGTCTTGCACTTGAACCAGCACCGCGCCAAGTCCAGCGTTACTTGCGTCCATGTGAATTTCGGTTTCCGCATCTTGATCGAAATGTCCTAGAACAGGAGGAGTCTGCAGTCGTCGCTTCAGCTCGTCGAATGCCTGCTGCTGCTTCTCGGCCCATTCGAACTTCTCGGCGTCCTTTGTGAGGTTTGTGAGTGGTGCGGAAATCCTTGCAAAATCCCGGATGAAGCGCCGATAGTAGGCACATAGTCCAAGAAACCTTCGCACGGCCTTCTTGTCTGTCGGTACTGGAAATGCTGCGACGGCGCGAGTCTTCTCTGGGTCGGGGCGAACGCCTTCGTTACTAACCACGTGACCTAGAAACTTCAGTTCGTCATAGGCGAACCGACACTTTGACGGCTTCAGGGTGAGTCCGGCGGTCCGTATGGCTTGGAGAACTGCTCGGAGTCGTCGCAAGTGCTCGTCGAAGTCGCTGGAAAACACTACGACGTCATCGAGGTAGACGAGACAGCTCTGCCACTTCAGTCCTGCCAGTACGGTGTCCATGACACGCTGGAAAGTTGCTGGAGCCGTGCACAGTCCGAAGGGCATCACCTTGAACTCGTACAGCCCATCTGGCGTGACGAAAGCTGTTTTCTCTCGGTCCCGTTCGTCGACCTCGATCTGCCAGTAGCCGCTCTTCAGGTCCATGGATGAAAAGTATCGGGAGTGGCGCAGCCGGTCTAACGTGTCGTCGATGCGGGGGAGTGGATAGACGTCTTTCTTCGTCACTGCGTTCAGCTGCCGGTAGTCCACGCAGAACCTAAGCGTTCCGTCCTTCTTCTTAACCAGTACAACTGGAGAGGCCCACGGACTGCTTGAGGGTTGGATTATGTCGTCATTCAGCATCTCTTGCACTTGCTCCTGGATCACCTCCCTTTCTTTAACGGAGACTCTGTACGGCGATCGATGCACAGGGCGCGCGTCATCCTCGGTAACGATGCGGTGCTTCGCAATGGTGGTTTGGCGCACCCTCGACGACGTCGCGAAGCAGTCACTGTATTCGGCGAGAAGGTCACTTAGCTGCCGTGGTTTCGGGCCTGGAAGCTTGCGGTCAATGTCGAGCTGCGCTGGCGCCGTAATGTGTTGCTGAGGTGGGAGTGATTCTTCAGCAATCGCTGTGATTTCGGCGGAGTTCCGAATTTCCTCAACGTGGCCTACAGCGGCACCTTTCGTGAGGTGTTGCGCCTCTTGTCGAAAGTTTGTCACGAAGACCACGGTGCGCCCATCCTGAAGTTCAGCCACTCCTCTTGCGACGCCTATTCCTCTTTCTAGGAGTAATTGAAGGTTGCCTTCAAGAACAACTTCGCCGCAGGTAGCTACATCGGCCGCTACGGGTACGACACCACTTGATCGCGGCGGCAGGTTCACGTGGTCGGCAGCGACTCGGACGGCGGCTGACGCTGTTTGAGGTTTCTCTGAAGACGGGACGGGCTTGCGCAGCGTCAATCTGTTCTCACCAAGGTCGATGACGGCGCCGTATTCACACAGAAAGTCCATGCCGAGAATAACGTCTCTGGAACAGTCTTGTAGAACGATGAACTTCACAGGGCACGTTTCACCGCGGATCTCGACGCGAGCAGTGCATCTCCCGATGGGTGTGATCAGGTGCCCTCCGGCGGTTCGTATTTGAGGTCCATCCCACGGCGTCGTGACTTTTCGAAGGCGGCGGGAGAGCCTCCCACTCAAGACTGAGTAGTCTGCTCCGGTGTCCACGAGTGCAGATGCGTCGTGGCCGTCGATGACGACGTTTAGGCTATTGGACACCACTGCAGCGGCGTCGTTTTGGTCTCTGGTAGCGTTCGAGTGGGGGCCCCCCGACGTTCGTGGAGGATCTTGGCGTCGGTCGTGTTCGGCAACTCCACCTCCAGGGGTTGCCGCGCCTAGTTTCCCCGGCGAGGAGCGAGGGGGGACAGGCTTTCACGTCGTGGTCGGTGCATCGGCGAAGCTGGACGTCGCGGTGACGGCGACCGGAACTCTCGGCGGGACGCAGGCTCGGGGGACTGAGGTCGTCGCAGGTACTCGTCGATCTCGATAGGGCGTTCACCATGACGGGGGCGCGGGTCGTTCGGGTGGAACCCGCGTAGCCCGAGTCGTCGGTATGGGCATCGGCGGTAGGTGTGGTCCGCTTCCCCGCAATGGAAGCACAGAGGGCGTCGGTCGGGCGTTCGCCACACGTCGGTCTTGCGGGGTGCGCGAGGCTCCGGGCAGGCGTACTGGACCTGGTCGTCGTGGCGTCGGTCGTGCTGCGGCGCAGGAGACTGACGTCGGGGCGGCGTGACATAGGTGCGACGAGGAGGCGGTGGCCGTCGGGCCACTGCGGCGTAACTCAACGTCGGTGGTTCCGGAGCGGTGCTGACGAGAACCTCAGGCTGCAGCGCTTGCTGGACTTCTTCCCTGACAATCTCGGCGATTGAGGGCGAAGCTGGGCTTGCGGCGGCAGGTAGAAGTTTCTTGATCTCTTCCCGGACGACGTCTCGGATCATCTCGCGGATGTCCGTGGTGTTGCAGCCGGAAGGCGAAAAGGAACCGACGCCGGGAACTCGGTGATAGTGGGTGGCTCGTGCTTGAAGGGCACGTTCGATGTTGGTGGCCTCCGTCATGAAGCCTTCGACGGTGGTAGGCGGGCTCCGCACAAGACCACCGAAAATGTTTTCCTTGACGCCACGCATCAAGACTCTGAGCTTCTTTGCTTCGGATGCTTCGGGATCGGCGCGGTTGCTCAGTCGCAGGACATCTTCCACGAAGCTAACGACGCTCTCGTTAGGGCCTTGAATCCTCGCTTGAAGAAGCTCTTCCGCGCGTTCTCTTCGTTGTTGGTTCATGAACGTTCTTCGCAACTCAGGCTTGAGTTGCTCCCAGGAAGTGATCGAAGCTTCGTGGTTCTCGAACCAGTTCCGGGCGGTGGCTTCCAAGGCGAAGTAAGCGTTTTGCAGACACTGTTCCGGTGTCCACCCGTTATGACGGGCCACTCGTTCGTACTGTTGGACCCAGTCGTCGATGTCTTCGTGGCTTTCGCCGTGGAAGGGAGCCGGTGTCCGAGGAGCGACGGGTAGGTAGACGACGGCAGGAGCGGCCGGGGCCTGCGACTGGTTGTCCATCGTCGTCTTCTTCGGTTTGGGTTTGTCCAGGAGCAAACCGTACTCCGGATCCTCTCCCTTGGTGCGGCGGCTGGTCCGAGTTTCAGGTTCCGCGCTGAGTGGTCTTCTCAGCGAGCTTGGAGTCGGGCTTGCCCTGCGGGTCCTGGGAGGGGAACGCTGCACGGGCATGCGGTACCCCGCACCTCCACCAAAATGTCACGGGTGGCGACTAATAAACAAGAAATAAACAGAAATAAATAAACGTTTAATGTGGCGAACTTGTGCCAAAAATAAAGAAGGAAACAGAAGAAAGCAGAGCGTCGCGGGCGTCGAAGTCGGCGTGTCAGCAGAATCGAGCGCTGGGGCGAGACTGACTCGACAAGGTCGCGAGCGGCGTCTTATCTAGAGTGAGTCGCTATCTCGAAGATACGGCGGAGAAGGTTCGAGCGTAGCGCGCTCGGGGCGAGAATGAACACGCACTTTCTAGAACAACATAAGCAGGGATAAACGACAGAAGCAGTCCGGAGCAAGAATAAACGAGAAAGTTCTAGAAGTCCGTGACCCTGCGCGCGGCAATATATTATAAATAGACGAAACTTAAATACCAAAAAGGCTCTAAAAATATTAGAAGCTAAAAGCGCAAAAGAGAAAACATGGCCGCGCAGAACGCACCACAAGGCTGACTTTAAATTTAAGTTTCTTTTCACGATATTTATGTACTTTAAACTGCAGTCGAAAGTCAGCACAGTGGTATGTACTCTACCTGCTCACATTTCGTGTCTTACAGAGCATAATTTTAGTTACGAATAACCAACGCGCCCAAGCTTCCACCTTACCAAGCTCTAAACTATGCATGGAATCCTACTTTCTCGCAGAAAAAGCGGCGAGCCAGTCAGTTTGATCTACAGAATGTGCCCAGCAAACGACGAGGCGTTAAGTGGCACGACTCGAAAGCGCGACCCGCGCAGCAGGGAGAATGAACGAGGGAAACGCCGTGCTCATGTACCCGCGCAGATTTCGTGCGCAATGCTAAGGCCTGTTCTGCCTCGGAATTCGCTGGATGTGCTCCACAGATCGCAGTGATTGGCCGAAAATGTGGTCCGCGGGGAAGTAGACAGGCAGGAAATCTTGTCGTGTATACAGCGGGCAATTTCGTCTGCTCTTCGCGCACCTAGTGGGTTTGTTTCCCCGCAAGAGCCGGCCACGAGCGCTTGTTTCCCTAAGACGTGAACCGATGTCACCGACAGTGTGCACGTCATCCCGCGTCCTCTACGCGTTCTCTTTGTACTCGTGGATTGGTGTGCTCCCCCTTGTGTACCGATGCACGAAAGACGCTTTTACACCGAAGCTGTTAAGGGCTAGTTTCCCCAGGATCGTGTCCGCCAGCAAACAAATGTCGACACGACACTCCGGACAGCTACCGCCATCTATGAGCGACGATTGCAACCTTTCCAGCCTTTTCACTCTGGCTTGCCGACTTGCGGCCGACCATTACTTCATTTCCACCATAGTACAGCTTCGCTGGTCTTCCTTCTTCACCGGATTGATAAGGCTGATAGTTTTTGTAACACTTGTTCTCCGTATGTATTCGGTGTCGAGCGGTGTACGTCGTTTGACCTCAAAGTTCATTTTGAAGAATGCTGCGAACCATTCGAGACAATAGGGTGCTTCCGGCGTTACGTTACTCTAAGCTCGATACAAGGTCCTCTTATAGGCTTAGCCTGGATAACTTGCGCCGTTCTCCGTGGATCATTCTGAAGTGAATAAGAGCAGGTAGCAACTATTTATGTGTTGGTTTGCCACGGTATACTTGCACTATAGAATATCCAATTGATATGCAATTGAAAGTAGTGAAAGACCTCTGCCAACGTCGTGTTTCGACATGAGATATAGATGCCACGTAAATTCGTTGTAGACCAGACAGAATTGAAAGGTGTCTCACCCATAGTATAGTCTCATGGAGGGCCACTGAGAATGCGTACCACTCCGACGTTAAACTGGTCTCCTCATCACCGTTTGCGACAAAAATTTGATGAAAAAGGCACTAAAAACAAAGTTTCGGGCGTTCACCTTGCCTTCGCATTGAGGGAATAAAATCTACGACCAACCAAAATGCCAAGTCACAAGACCGCCATATATGCCTCGTTTTATCGCCGAAGATATACGAAGGAAAATAATCATATTTTACGTACGATGTAAGGACTGACTCTCCTTCAACTTGGTCCCACGAGAGTCGGTCATAATTTGGCTTGATGAGAGTCAAGACGTATTTCTGTGGGAGAAAAATAAACGCTTTGGTTGTAGAGCTTTTATACGAAAGAAGCATACATTTATATCGAGTCTGAGTTGTTAAAACAACCCCGCAGATTAAAAGAAAAAAAAAAGATACCAGTGAATGCGCAATTTAAACAAAAATACGCGCTCATTTTCTTCAGAGAGCACGTGGAAAACACGCGGAAAACCGGTGACTGATTTGTGTAGGTCCGAGTGCTCAACGAATGACGGCCCGCGGAAACTTTTTGACCAAAATATAGGCTCCAGAGTGACACGAAACAGCAGCTCGACCAAAATACTCACGTTCATTCGGTATCAACAAGATAGCCTAGGTTTTTGACCAAACCCACACCATTAACAAATACAGCGCCTTTTTTTTCTAAAATTATATATATTTTTTGCTGCGCGATTCGAAGCGATGAAAGGCACTTTCCCGAAATCCTAGAAAGTGACAAACACGAGACACCTCTGGTAGATTAGGACAGCAACAAACATCCATTTTCTCCACTTAATTTTTAGCGCATCATTAGTCACTGAGAGCTTAATTAAGTGGTCTATTATGATCAGGCGTCATGATTCGTGATTCGTTAGGCGGCGTTGTTATCGGGTAATTCCGAAACGATAATTAAATGCCCGGGACTATAACTACCCCCTGAGTCTCTTGAGCGGTCACTCAGTACAGTCTGAGACTTGCATGCGCTAGTGTCGGCAGTCCCGTACAATCATTTCCGCAATGGGCACGTGACCTTTAAAGAGAGCAACACTTGCCGCGAAATTCAATCGTTACGCGGACTGCGGTGAGTAGCTAATCTACGTAGATATAGGGTTTCTCTTCAGTCGCAGCAGAACGAGGACCTTGCCCTTCTGGCGATAACGCGGACCCTCTAAAGGCCATTGGTGTTCACATCTTGGTGTTCGCAAGCATGCGAGCAGAAATGTCCTAAAGACGCGTGGTTTCGATTAACTCAATAATGAGAAACCCGAGACTGGGAACGAATAAAAAAACCGGACACCCACACACACCGTCTCATAACACAACTACAATATTTTTTTTTTCGCATCCTCAATTTCTTTTTCTTTTTTTTTCCTTTTCTTGCGAGGAGCTTGCGAATTTTTTAAGGAGGGTGGACGATTGTATAATTGTGACGATGTGAAATAAAATCAGTAGCTCTTTTGCTTTTTTCAAATTTTGTATTTGTTTTTAGTCTCGAATTTTTAATTGTGGAGTTGAGTGACATAGTTAATTAGGAAAATGTTCGATAGTGATAACGTAATGAAGGTGACACTGCTCATGCCCTGTCGTCCTTGAACACGAGCGAAGCGAACGAACCATCCACCCCCGGGTTCCCGTGCCAGCCATCAAGGCCAGCGAGAGTGTAGCATAGCTCACCATCCAGATGCCGTACACTTCTTTGGTATCCAGTCTGCTGCCGAGGAAGAGTAAGTTGCTAAATGCCGCATCCCATGGAATGTACTCGGTTTCACGCGGAAGGTATTCTGTGACCTTCAGGGCGAGCTTGTAGTCGACGACGCCAGCTCTGCATACAGTTCAAAGAACAGATCACACGATAAAAAAAACCTCTATTTAAAAAAAAAAAATAAAATAAAAATCTATCTAGCCAACAAAAAGATTAAACATAATTTTTGTTTAATTTTCTTGGTCACTTTTATATGTCAGATCATCGAGATCAGGACAGGCCCAATAGTATAAACATTTCACACTGCAGTCACAAATTCCAGATGCCCTTGCATCTAGATCTACCCCAAGAATGTTCGCACCTCTGCGGTCGCCATCGCCAAGTTATCCCAACAAGGAACGAGAAAATGTACAGAAGTTATATTCTCAATTTATTTATTCCGACTATTATTCTTACACAATAGTCAGATACAACCCAAGAAAGACAGTGCGAGGGGAAAAGGGCTCGCACGAGCAAAGCTGTTGTGGAAAGGAAGTCGATCCTCTCCACTTATGCTTGACTATAATAGTTTCTGCCCAGTTCCCCCTCGCACTGTCTTCCTGAACTAACCTTAAGACAAAAAATTTCTCGATTTACATTGGTTCATAAGATTTGCTATCATAATCCAACGCTTACACAGCTCTGATTACCAGCCCCTATAGCAGTTTTCTTTATCAAGATTAAGCAGCGTTTTTATAGTACCGCCCATCTGCGCACAGAACATGTCCTTCTGCTAACTCCTGAATCCCTCTGACAATAGCTCGCACACTGGAACACTTTGCCCGGGATCGTAGTAAAAGCTAAGACAATGCTCTCTACTTGTTGCCACGTCAAGAAAAAGGGGAAGTTTTGCGTATCATTCATGCGCTGCGCCAAGTAGTTCGTACAAAATTTGGTTGCTGAAGGAAGAAACGATGCTCTTAGCGTTTGAAATGGGTACGTCTTAACAAATTAATATACAGCTAATATACGGTGCAGCTACATATATATATATCTTAATTCAGTGACACTCAGGCGGAAATTAGTGGCCTCCGCGTTGAGCCTGACTTATTTAAGGCTGTTCTTGAGATAAAAACGATTATAAATGTTTTTAAAGAGCTTCTAAGTGCATATATAGAATACGTAAACTACTGATCTAATATTTAACTCTTTTTAAATCACGTTTGTTTATTGTTCCAGATTTTCTATATGTTACCGTGTTCACTCATTACAATTATCAACTGGCCATCCCTCGTGTAATGTCCTTTCCTAGAAACTTTGATGTCTTAATGAATAAAGGAATTAAATCACGAGTAGATATCTTCGTTATTTAATAAGCAAAATGTTTGAAAAATAACAAGTAGACCTACCTTGCTAAATCCAAGATGTCGTCAATTATTTGGGCTCGGTTGTTTTCATGAATTTCCTGAAATTACAAGACCATGATGCACTGCAGCCGACTTACCGTTCAGCCCTTTAAGCAAAGATAAAATAATTAAAAAAATATAGTGCCAAAGCCCATGTGCATAAAAATATGCAATGTATATGCAAAATATGCAAAACTTGATTATTGAGGACACATAGAGTCTACAATTACTAGGGTGGCATGAGTAGACCCGTAGCTCTCTAGTTTCGAGCAGCGCCCCTGGCTGGCGAGACCGGATACTTTTAGGTCGCGGTTCCGTTGTGCGTCGCGTTGCGCGTTGCGTCCTCTCAAACGCTGTGTTTGTGGCCATGGACAGATGCTGAGAGACGCTGACAGACGCTCACTTACCGTGTGTCCCGTCAACAGCTGCGTTATGAGCAGGTTCCAGTTTCGCTCGTCGTAATTGACTTTGTAGTAGCCAACCTCCTGGACGTTGGCAATGAACCACTCCGACGCGGCCGGCAGCTGCGATATGCTCACTGAAAGACATCGCGAGAATTTCTGTCTCTAGCACAAATAAAGACAAATGACCCACGAATATCGTCTATTGGTTAAAGTATATTGACAGAATGGACCCTTTCCGAGAAGAGGTCTGCGCATGCGCGAGCTCTCCTCGCATATAGAAGCGGCGGTTCGATTTAAGACATACACAGATGCACCAAATAAGCTAGGCTATAGTTACGGCCAACCATGTTCAGGTTATCCTGTGGGCGCAGCCATTTTGGTGCTAAGTGCAGAGTGTCCGTTATTGGCGATAGTTACGATCTAAAAATGCGACATCCTGAGAATTAGATACGATGCCAGGAATGATGATAATGCAATTAGTGCAAAGGTGCAACCGAGCTGGACAATAATAACGATATAAATCCCCGGAGAAAAGGAACACGGGGGACGAAGGACAAACACAACTAGATAACTGGCGCGCGACTGAAAAAAATCCGCCTAATCGTACCGAACCAGGGGCCTCTCTATTTCCAGTGGTGCGCTCTACCAACTGAGATAACCAGGAGTTTGATGTCAGTGGACCTAATGGGTTTTAACAGCTGCCACAGGTCCATCACCAACAAGGGGGAAAGACCTACACTTTTAAGGTTATGATGATAATGCGCTAAATGCAAAGGTGCAAGAGAGCTGGAGATAATAACGATAAGAATCCCTGGAGAAGGGAAGCAAGCGGGAGAAAGGACAAACACAAATATCTATTGTAAGCAGTGAGAGAGTGCAGGCGAGCTGGTAATCGATCGACATCTTGTAAACCTTACAAGATTTCGACAAATATCTAAACACAGCTAGGTGTCTGGTGCGCGACTGAAAGAAACTCGTTTGTTCTACTGACGTCTAACTCTTGTTTAGATCAGTTGGTAGAGCGCTCCACTTGAAATGGACACGATGGAAAACACCATCTTTGCTCATAAACATTCAGCACGACGTGGCATGTGCTCAGTGTCCCAACACATGCACCGCATTTTGAAGCGAAGTAAACGCCCTAATGGCTAGTTTGCGCTTACCTTCTCTAAAAAAAAAAAAAAAAAAAAAAAAAAAAAAAAAAAAAACTCCGAAAGCCAATCGAAGCGATTTATTTTATAAAAAAATGCGGTACGTCTACCTTACCGCAAAGCAATTGGGGGAATCCAGTCGCTGCACTTTACGGGGGGAGACCGGCCAGTTACGAGGCTGAAAATATGGTTAGTAAGAGTCTCCGCTTTGGCACGTCGTGGTGAACGTCGTGGTCATTGTAACAGCGCAGACATTTTTTTCAACACTTACGTTGGGATTCGTAATTATCCAAGTTCATTCCGTAGGTTGCACTGATTGGCTCTCACGAGTGCATTACGAGAAAGCAGACACACTGAAGTCCTTAGAGACATTGGGAGATGCGTGTCAAAGAATAAAAAAATGTTTAGGAGTGCCTATGCGGGCAGAAAGTGAGGGAGAGGAGGAGACGAGAGAGGACGCCAGAACGCCGAGCTCTATAGCTGACTGTAATGATCAGTGGGTAAAGAGGCAAAGCTAGCCGGCTTTGTTTCCACTGCACCCTTCGAACGCTTCCGAATGAAACGCGAACGCCAAACGCCGGACGCCGGCGTTGCGCATTCGAATACGTTCTAAGATTGCAGTGGAGACAAAAGCAGCTAGCTTTGCCTCTTGTATATTGTGCCTGGAGCGCGCGTCTGGCTGGTGCGTTTTAGCGTCCTATCTCGCCCATAGATACGTCCAAAGGGGTTGCGAACTGGCAACAAATGACGTCACAGAAGCGGGAGTGTCACGCTGTCGGATGTCGCGATCCTCTCGGTAGTCGTAGAAATACTGACGAAATGGATGAGCGAACGCGAGTGTCGCTGTCATAGCGGTGCCCCAACTTCTGACTGCCGAACCTTCCGCAGGCTGCCCCACTGGACAGCGGCCCACAGCAGAACAGGCCTCTTCCACGTCCACCACAGCTGTTTCGACGCCGCCAGGGTCGCAACTGGCGACAGCATGACACTCGTATGACGTCATCAAGCGAAAATCGAGGGACCCCCTTTTTTGGCCACGACCTGCTGGAATTCTGACCTGCCCACAGAAGAATGTGCCAGTGCACGCCTTGCAGTACATGGCCGCGGCAGCGGCGTTTCGTCTCACTATGACTTCGCGGCGCTGCACAAAGGGTTTTCTTTTTGTTCGCTTATTAATCGAAGGCGCGCAAGGCGTGGCGACCTTATCTGGTGCTGACCTGCTCTCCTCGCGGGCCACGTGGAATCCCGTCAGTCGGTGGTCGCGTGACAGATTCGTCATTAGAGGCTCCGGCTGCCAGCACAGTGGCTACTTATGAGTGATTCTAGAAGGCGCTTTATCTCGACGATGGCACAAGAGCAGTCGGGGCTAAAAAGTGAAAGTCGTTTACCACTCCCTGTAACGCCGAATTGGAGCGCAGCTCTTGAGGAGGAGGAGGGGAGGGTACTGAGGGCCACGTGTTCTCGGGGGGGGTCACGTGACCCCCCCCCCCCCCCGAGGGCACGTGACCTTGGTGGGGTCACGTGGGGGCAAACACGTGCCCCCTCAGAGGTCATGTGACCTCGGGAGGGGGTCACGTGACTCCCCAGGTCACGTGACCCCCCGGGTCACGTGACCAAAATTTTTCCGCTAGATTTAGCGGGGAAATTTTTTCCGCTAGATTTAGCGGGGAAAGTTTTCCGCTAGATTTAGCGGGGAAATTTTTTCCGCTAGATTTAGCGGGGAAATTTTTTCCGCTATTTAGCGGGGAAATTTTTCCGCTAGATTTAGCGGGAAAATTTTTTCCGCTAGATTTAGCGGGGAAAGTTTTCCGCTAGATTTAGCGGGGAAATTTTTTCCGCTACATTTAGCGGGGAAATTTTTTCCGCTAGGATTTAGCGGGGAAAGTTTTCCGCTAGATTTAGCGGGAAAATTTTTCCGCTACATTTGACGGGGAAATTTTTCCGCTAGATTTAGCGGGGAAATTTTTTCCGCTAGATATAGCGGGGAAATTTTTTCCGCTAGATTTAGCGGGGAAAGTTTTCCGCTAGATTTAGCGGGAAAATTGTTTCCGCTAGATTTGACGGGGAAATTTTTCCGCTAGATTTAGCGGGGAAATTTTTTCCGCTAGATTTAGCGGGGAAATTTTTTCCGCTAGATTTAGCGGGGAAATTTTTCCGCTAGATTTAGCGGGGAAATTTTTTCCGCTAGATTTAGCGGGGAAATTTTTTCCGCTAGATTTAGCGGGGAAATTTACCCATAATGCACCGCGCGGTTACGCCGACGGCGACGCCGACGGCGACGCCGACGGCGACGGCGACGGCGACGCCGCTCAAGCCGGGAACGGGCCCCTAAGAGCTGCGCTCTAAAAACGACCTCGGGCTTCCGTGTTGGGGAAACGTGCCCTTTCGATCCAAGCAAACATGAGAGTGATGCTGCAGCCTGCTGGCGCCACGCAACGGTGGCAAAGCGAGGCACTCCATCGGCGACAGCGTCTTCCATAGGAAGCCATTTTGCGGGCAGGTCAGGATTACAGTAGGTCGTGTTTTTGTACGCGGTAAACACACCAATCGGAGACGCCTTCCAGGCACCATACCTCGAGCCACTCGTCATTAATACAGGCAGAGCTGGGCGTTCTGGCCTGTTCTCCCCCAGAGTCTGCCGGCATAAGGTCTCCGAAGCGATTTGCAGAAATTCACTACGCACCTGATTCGTCATTCAGCCACACCCTGGGAGTCGTGTCGTTCCAGTTTCGATGGACGGAGTCTGTATACGTGATCGGAATTTGCCACAGAACGCTTCAAGAAAAAACAGAGGGAAAACAGGGAGGTTAAAGAATGCGCAATGGTCCTTCAAAAAGAATAATGCCGCGGCATTCCAATCCATAATTGTTACAGATCATACAATGGGTACCAAACAATGCGCAGAGAAAGTCGTCTGCTTCTAGCACAGGAGTTGCGGTGCGTCAGAACGACGTCGAGTTCCGATTGGCTTTGATTGAAAGGATAGTGGGTAGACCTCAACGCTGGACGCTTTGAAATCTACCCCCTATTTTTTTTAATCAGCCAATAAAAGCTCGGCGTTCCGACATCATCGTAACCCCTGCAAAGAAGCAGACAAACTTGCGTTCCGCATAGCCACCGACAGCAAAAGAAACACAGGGTATGGCTTATTATGCTCGGGTCTCTCGCTTCGTGGTTCGCTCTTTGGCGTTCTTATTGGCCAATTCCACAATCTGACTGGCTGCGCTAATCTGATGCTTGGAACTCACCAAGCCCCGTGTTTTGTTGTCTGTCGCTATAGGTTGTTTGCACATGACGTCAATCCGCCATGTTGTTGTTAGTTTGTGTTTTCAAACAAATTCACTACATTGAAAGATTACATCGTAACCGGTTGAGATAATGTCAGCGTGGTAAGACAAGCTTCTGTGCTGTACGCATTTGAGGGGGCATGCAAATCCTTGGAATGCTCGAGTTTGGCACGCACCAGACAGCTCACAACAAAAAAATGGTGGACGAAATTACGTCAGTGAAAACACCCTATAGTTTCGTTCTATAGTCTCCGGAAGATAGCGTGACTACCCAATGGGCACGATATACTTGCTATCTTCGTGCATACGGCGATCCCAACGCGGTCATAACGCCTTATGAAGAGCGCAGAGCGTGGGCCAAAGGCCATACACCTTTCCAATTCACATTACTTCGGCCAAAAGTGTCGAGTCACTGGGGCTGTGGACGCACGTGCAACGTACGATGTTTCACAGAAGGACTTGGCATGCTCACAACACGTTCTATAGCCCAACAGACGGCACCGCAGGGCGTAAGTTTCGAGAATATTACGCGTTCGTGGACATGGAGGTTTGTCGTATACTATACACTAAAAAAAAGAATGGAAGCCGTTACAATTCCCTGTAACGCCGGTTGGAGCGCAGCTCTTGAGGAGGAGGATGGAAGCGTACTGAGGGACAGGTGACTCCTTAAGGTCACGTGACCTCATGGGAGGTCGGGTGACGTCAAGGGAGTCACGTGACCTCGGGGGAGGGGGTCACGGGACCTCAGAGGGTCACGTGACCTCAGGAGAATCACGTGACCTCAGGCGGCCACGTGACCTCAAGGGGTCACGTGACCTTAGGGGGTCACGTGACCTTTGGGGTCATGTGACCTCAGGGGTCACGTGACCTTGACGGTGACGATTTGATGACGTCATCAGTCACTGATGACGTCATCAGTGATGATGACGATGACAATGCGGATGACGATGACTTCATCAGGTTGCATCCAACCTGGATTGCATGCAACAGGTTGCATACAACTCGCATGCCATTTGCATGCAACAGGTTGCATGCAACCAGTTGCATGCAGCTCCCGAAGGAACCCGAGGTCCTCCCGAAAAAACCCGAGGTCCTCCCGAAGGGACCCGAGGTCCTCCCGAAGAACCTCGGGTTCCTTCGGGACGACTTCGGGTTCCTTCGGGAGTCCTCGGGTCCCTTCGGAAACATTTACCCATAATGCACCGCGCGGTTACGCCGACGGCGACGGCGACGGCGACGCCGACGCCGCTCAAGCCGGAAACGGGCGCCTAAAGCGCGATCCAAACCAACGCTTCTTTTTGCGCCTGTAGGTCGTGCGGCTGCGGATGTGGCGCATTTCGTGGCGTTTTTGCTGTTTCCGGGCGCGCTTTCTGAGTCAGAACCGTGCGCTTTGGTTTGGACGGGCGAAACTTCGGGCGAACGCGCACGCGCGCACGCAGGCACGAGCGCACAAGCAAAGTGCAACTGCGACAGACTGGCCGGTCAGACGGCGAGAGAAAGAGAGAGAGAGAGATCGCGTTGTCATGTTGGAAGAGAATAAAGGGGGGGGGGGGGGGGGAGGAGAGGGCAGCCAGACGGCGAGAAACGCGGAGCCGGAACTATACTCTGTTTCATACTTAGCGTGCAACGCTGTCAAAGCTACTGGCGCGAGCATGGGGCTTCATCTCGTCGATCATTTGCACGCGTTCTCGCGCAAACAAAACCATATAGATGAAGCCACGCGCTCGCGCCAGTAGCTTTGACAGCGTTGCATGCTAAGTATGAAACGGAGTATAGCTTGCCCTCCACCGATTGGCCGGGACACAGGAGCGCCCTTTACGTCACCGCGCGTTTTTGTGCGCGTTGAGAAGAAGTTGAAATCATCCAACTTTCTTGTGCGCGCCCGGAAGGAGCGAAGAAGCGGCGCGACGTCACGAAAATACGTCACATCCGCAGCCGCACGACCTACAGGCGCAAAAAGAAGCGTTGGTTTGGATCGCGCTTAAGAGCTGCGCTCTAAAAAACGCCCGTGGGTTTACTTTCCAACAGAACTCGGACGCAGTCAACCCAGGCGTACACTCTGAAACAGTATGTGTGTCTACTTTCCCGCACAACACTCGGAGAGCCAATCAGCGCAACTTACGGAGGCAGCTCAGCGAATGACGATGCCGAGACATATGTTTAGACCAAAAAACGCAGTCTGAGTTGTGACATTAAGCAATGCAAGCCTGAAGTTTTGCATTGCTTAATGTCACAACTCAGACTGCGTTTTTTGGTCTAAACATGTGTTTCGGCATTGTCATTCGCTGAGCTGCCGCTGTGAGTTGCGGTGATTGGCTGCACGAGTGTTGTGCAGGAAAGCAGACGCACGGGCTTTTTTCAGAGTGTGTCAGTTGCGCGGATTCCGTTCGTGGTAAGCTCATGCACTCTCGCAAGATCCCCCGTATTTTACCGCGATGCACCTGGAGATCCCATCACTGGTGTTCCTTTAATCAGCTCAGCCAATGAGAACGACGCGCGATATCACACAGAAGGACCCTATACTGAATGATGTGCGAAAAAGAAACATACGCGAATGCCGAGTGTTCCGCTGCTACCCGATAGATGGCGCCAGGAAGCTTCTGGAGGCAACAAGACGCCACCAGCGGTGAAGCCGGGGGACACTTCAGGTTCAGAGGGACACGCTCTCAACATCACCAATGACTAAAAACGAAGAAAACCAAAAGAAGCTATTGGACAGAAAGGACACCCTCGTGCACCTTTGGGGGCATTCGTGCCGACCGCGACCTCTACTTCCGTCTTCACTTTGGATTTTCTCGTTTGACTGGATTAAGCCGGTATGTCGTCTCTCCTTGGATTCAAGGCACACGGTCGTAAGAAGTCGCAAGTAGGGGGGGGTGTCGCGAACCAGCCGAGGTTCGAGTTCGACCAGGTTCGAGTTTTTCGAACTTTTAGCGGAAATTTCGACGAACCTTGTATTGAGGTTCGACTCGTGAGCGCATGCGCGACAGGCTGGCTAGTTGGCTTCGGATTGGATGGTGATGGCTAAAGGATAAATCAAGGGCAGTGCTGATTCGTTATTTCAGTTACTAGTGTATAAACAATTAAGTTATTAACTTCTTCAATTATAAGAACTGGTTTCTTTTAATTGCAACTGTTAATAAAATAAAATAACCCTTTGCATAAAAAAAATTCTCCAAACCTAGACATACTTGTATCAAGGTCTGGCCACACTGTCCACAAAGTCGAACCGGTCGAATCTGGTGAAAAGGTCGAAGGTTCGTCGACCCGGTTCGACTCAGTCGAACCGCGAAAGTTCGACCTAAAAGTCCGGTTCGACAAAAGTTCGCGACACCCCTAGTCGCAAGTTTGTAAATGAGCCTTTGAAGAGCTCGGAACAACTGACCTTTTGGCAGCGCCTTCGTCCAAAAGGAAGCGCTTCTGCGTGAGGACGGCGGTTCTTTGGTCGTATGACCTGTTCACGGTGACCACCGGAAAGCCCGTCTGAAGCGTCCAGGTGTCCATCACTTTCTTCACGTCCACCGGCGGATCTTGCACCTGGGCCTGGAACAAAATCGCTATCTCAAAAAAGATGGAAAAAGAAGGGCACACGGGTCCGAAGAAAAACAAATTGTTATGCCGGGAAGTTTTCGTGCACTTTTTCGTATTAGTATAAAGTTGAAGTTGAAGTATGCAAAAGCTTTATGCGCGAAATATATAGAATAATTGTAGATTTAACTCTTCCAGACCAGGTTTGCTTTAGAAGCTAAAATTCAGCCATCAGCGCGGGAGCGTCCCGCGTGGTTGTTGACACGCATGTACGACCGCGACTGCTCATTCAAAAATTCCCGCCTCTGCTTGTACGGGTGCGTTTGCAGGTACGTGCTGCCATCTGGTAGGTTCGTAGGGAACTACGACTATATAACTCCCGTTGTGTTTTTCTTTTTTTTTTTTTTTTTTAATACTTTTGAGATGGCCGCGCGCACAGATTTAGCCGCGCGTGCCGGCTGCTCCGGAGGTAGCGGAGATTGGAGCGACGGCTTTTCGGATTCAGACTTTCAACCCATCTCGGACACTGAGCCGGATGACAGCTCGACATCCGACAAGGGGTTTTGAGAATTCGAAGTTTTAGTCCTTTTTGTTTTGTTCAACGAGCGTGCGTGCTGCAGATGTTTTAAAGTGTGTGTTCCTATTTATTTAAGTCTTACTTTTTTTTTATGCGTCATTTTATTCTCTTTGCTATCGCACAAAAAAAAAGAAAACTGATTACGGGATACGTTTTTGGACAAAAATGCAACCATAAAAGAGTAAGAGACGAGTACGAATATAAATTGCCTGAGGCATCTACGTTTTTGTTAATATAACCTTTAAGGTCAAGAGTAAAAAAACTTAATTCATTTTCAGCAACCGGTTTTTCTAGATTCAATCAAACCCGGAAAAAAAGAAAGAAAGATAAAAACAAATTTTAAGCATAATGTTTTTAAAAAAAACTTTTTTTTTCCTCGTGTGATTCCGTCACCACACGTCTTCGTTGACGCAGTTCGTCCTTCCGTGATATATCGCTCATGAATGTCACGACATGCTAAAAACAACTCATGTTCCTATGACTCACGACGGTGAGCCGCAGTATATCTTAAATAAACGAATAAAAACTGGCGTTCTTAGTCCGCTATTAGCATTGCGCTCTACAGAATATCCGTAAAGTCAGCTTTCACGCGGCGCATGCGAAGTGCCAATCACTGCAACCGACGGAGGGCGCCTGAGCTAATCACTAAGACCTAAGAATGACTCCTAGGCCAATCGCTGCGATCTACGGACGGCGCCTAGGCCAATCACTGCAATATATGGAGGGCCCTTAGGCCGATCACAGCAATATATGGAGGGCGCCTAAGCCAATCACTAAGACCTAAGAAGGGCTCCTAGGCCATACACTGTGATCTAAGGACAGCGCCTAGGCCAATCTCTGCGGCCTACGGAGGGTTCTAGGACGACCATTGCGACATACGGAGGGCGCCTAAGCCAATAACTAAGACCTAACTATAGAAGGGCTCCTAGGCCATACACTGTGATCTAAGGACAGCGCCTAGGCCAATCTCAGCGGCCTACGGAAGGTGCCAAACATTGCGATATACGGAGGGCGCCTAAGTTAATCACTGTGACCTAAGAAATGCTCCCAGGACAATCATTGTATCTACGGAGGGCGCCTAGGTCAATCACTACAAACTACAGAGGGTTCCTAGGCCGATCACTGCGATATACGGAGGCAGCCTAAGCCAATCACTGTGACCTAAGAAATGCTCCCAGGCCAATCATTGTGATATACGGAGGGCGCCTCGACCGATAGCTGCGATCTACGGCGCACATACAGCGAATGGCGCCGGTTTGACTCCAAAACTACAATGAGCGAGCGAAACGTCGTGCGGGAGCTTCCGTAGACAGCTTTCCCACTTCAGCTGGCTCTTACTGGTCATGAGCGCCGATAGCCTTGCCTGCAGAGTCCCGGCTGGATAAAGCGCTGTTTGCGCTTTATCTAGTCGTTGTTGCGCCTCACTTTCCGCTTTCTCTGCGTAGCTCGCCCTAACTGGCTCCAAATAGCGTTATGTTTGCACACGCAGGTGCGTGTTAAAGTGGTATACTTTGTAATTTCAAGCGGATTATGAGCTAGGACCTGCATTCCATTCATTGCACGTTTTTCTTTAGCTCAAGCAAGAAATATATGAATACATTTTCTTTTCTCGCATTAAGTACCTCTCACACGTAGTTTTCTCCATACTGGACAGACAGTAAAATAGAGTCTAAACGCACCAAAGTGGCGTTCAAAGTTTCGCTAGCGATGTAGAGACTCGAGCAGGGGACAGATGAGGAATGAAAACAGGTGCCGCGCGATTGTTTCCATAGGAACTAGTCCGGACGCTGTGACGCGGACGTATGCCATGCCGCCTCGTCACAGCGCCCGCGCGAGTTCCTATGGAAACTGCCGGGCGGCTCCCGATGTAATCGCTCGTGTCCCCTGCTTTAGGAACTTAAAAGCTATAAAAGCGCCGAAAACAAAGAGCACGAAACCGAAGTAAAACAAACACCAGGCTCATTTGCAACTGTATTTTATTGGGAAAAAACACGTAGTATATAGGCCTCATCGGCCACTCTTGTCATCGTCACATCGGCGCGAATCATTTTTGATAAAACCAAGCTCTTTGTTTGAAAGGGCGATTGATGTCTCACACGACCTTTACCTTCAGCCCGAATTTCGAATACCTCGTGCATTTCTCCGCTTGTTTTCTCTTTATATTTATCAAGAATATTAACATCATGCAACACCGGTAAACACGAGCATTTACTGCAGCGAACGGCGAGATGGCGCACGGTCATTGTATACTCGCAACTTTCAGCGAGGGTGGTACCGCGGTGTGAGAATGGCGCTTCCTATCTCCTGGATGACCGGCTTCACTATAAAGGTACTTGCCTACACCTATCGGACGTGCAAGAATAAAGTAAGGCTCTAATACTACTCGTATACACCTAGAATTACGCGTCGCAGACCCAGCCTCGTACTGCAGTTCAGCGACGATCATCCAGAGGGCAGCCATTTTGATAGGCATCAGTTCGCCCCCTATAGACCTTTTTTGCAAGTGCGCCGCCATCTTTAAGTGCCGTCACTTCCAGTATGGGCGAAAACATTGTTTTGCCTTTGCCACGACAATAGAAGGCATTTAAGATATAAGTGTAACCGTCACACTTTCTCGTTTTGCCTCCCCTCGTCGGTTATGTCCCATTAAATGTAGTGTCTTGTTGTTGAAACCGTTGGCTCCGTGTTATTCCTCCGGGTCGGGTATGCAGCAAGGCAAACCGACCACAAGCTTTACAGCTTAATGTTTTCCCGAGACAAGGGGCTTACCATCGTGAGCTCCGCCCATAGGTCATCTTGCTTGGCATTGGCGTAGGCCCTCTTTCTGAGGTAATTCTGTTGGAGAAGCGCATTTCAGCAGTTTGTGATTCCGCACACTGAAAACATTTTAAGTAGAGATTTCCATGAGTGAAAAAAAAAATGCCGCACGTTAAAATTGGCCTGGAAAGGGCAAGCGCAGTGAAGTGTAGCGCTATAACTTCAGCCTATAAGCAAAACATGAAAGCATGAAAGAAAGTACTAATTGCGATTTCAAATTTATACTTTCAGTATCGGCTGATTCTGTGAGACAGTGCGTGAATGTCTAATTTTCCTGACCCTTCAAAAACGTCGCTATTCTGTTTTTCCATGTGTAATTTATATTAAAAAAAAAGTTTTGCTATGCGATATTTTCTTTTTAATCCCCTTCCTGTCGAAGCAATGCGAGATCCTTACGTATTTTCACAAAGGGGAGCAAGAATTCAGTTAAAACAACTCAACCCGAATCGTTTAACACCGTGAAAAGCACTCTGCCTCCAAATTATGGATGCGCCATTTACCCTTCCATATAGCCCATTGATTAAACAAATAGAAGCACGAAGTAAACCCGAGGTAGTAAAAGAACACGCTCAGCATAGTTATTATAGTGCACGCGATTTAGTTAGGAAACGGCTGTTTGATTGGTTCAGCCATAGCCTCCTCTATACGGAGAAAGCCTGGCACATCGACGACGGAGCCATAGAGCGCGCGGCCGCAGGAAAAAGGAGAGGAGGAGCGCGCCGAACGGTGACCAATATGGTAGCGCAGAGCAGAAAGGGCAGACCTAGACAGCGAGCGCTTGGGTCGTTAGCGGCCGCTCCCCGAACCACGCTTGTTTTTGTGTTTTCGTCACCGTCGTTTTTGTACTCCGGGAGAAACGGGCGCGGCGATTCGAAAGGGCGCAGGGAGAAACGGGAAAGGGTGGACGTTGAGTTCCTCCTCTCCACGATAGCGACAAGAAAAGAAAAAAACAAAAAAAGATTGTTTCTGCGTTTGGCCGCTCGCTCTTTTGTGGCGCTAGCGGGTAAGGTTCTCTCCGCTCCCGTTTCTCCGCCCATCCTTTCCCATTTACGGCGGCCGTCTTTTCACGCGACGCGCCAGGCTTTCTCCGTATAGAGGAGTCTATGGTTCAGCGTTCGGATCGAGATACTGACTTCAATTCACTTGTCTCGTAAACAAAGGGACATTTCTTAATCAGTCACAAATTAAAAACTCGAAGAAAAAAAAGCAAGTTTTTTTTTTACTTGAAACTTTTTAAATATTAAGGGCCATAGGAATCTACGATGCAAGTAATTACTCTAGTACAACATATACAGATGCACCTTACCGTGACACCCTTCCTGAAGATTTTCTCAGTGAGGAAGTAACACATCATCCGTATAATAGACGCGCCCTGAAAGAAATAGATAAACGTGACCATGTACGTTACATATATTTGCCGACGGAACTACGAAAGAAACAGGGTCACGACCATCATACAGTCTGAAACACGAACCCCATCCACGATACGAAAGAAAGAGATGATGATTGCGACTTCTTTCGGCGCTTGAGCTGACGCTGCCAAGTATGCATGTGTGAATAGTGATGTGCACCAAAGAGCCCAGCTTCATTCATAACCTCCACATGGTAAGGCAAAGCCACCACAAACGGCTCTTTTAAGGCCCATATATATCTATATATATTTGCGTTTGCACCTGATGACTTCGGTTGAGGCAGGAGGTTGCACAAAGTTGCGGAGGGGATTTTCGAAAAGCTTGCGTACACCAGGTCGTTCACACTTGCGAACCGGCGGCCGGATGCGCGGGAATTCCGACGCCCGGCGATGAAAGCAGGCAGAATTTCCGGCGGAGAGAAAGATCGCTCAGGAACCAATTTTGAACGCCGAAAGAAGTTTTCTCTCGCCGCAAGACAGTCAGAACGCACGGGGAAGTGGCGCTTGCTAACGTCAGATACCCGCTGACGAGCTGGCGACAATGGCGACGAGACGCGCGCGGGCAAGGAGAAGGTATCGGAGCTCTCGTCAGCTCTTGTCTGTTCGGGAAACTGCGAGACGCTGGCGCCGCGCACTCCACAGGCGGCAACAAGTGTGAACGGCCCGATCTTTTTCCGGCGAGCGAATCCACTCGGCGGCGAGTGCGTATTGCGCAAGTGTCAACGAGCCATTGCGCTGAAACGCAGTCGATCGAAACCCAATAAGTACACGCTATCGTCGCTCGGGGCTCGCCAATAGTATGGTGCCTGGAGCGTCCTCTGACTGGTGTGTTGAGCGTTTTGTTTCGCCCACATCAAAAGGAGTCCCGAATTGGAAACAAATGACGTCACAGAAGCCGGAGTGGTACGCTGTTGCATGTCGCCATCCTGGCGGTTGGTCGTAGAAACGCTGGCGAAAAGCGCGAGTGAAGGCGAGTGTCGCTGTCGTATACCGGTGCTTAAACTTCTGGCTGCCGAAGCTTCGTGGACCCTCACAGCAGAGAGCGACATGGAGCAAAACAGGCGTCTACCACATCCACCACAGCTGTTGGGACACCGCCAGGATCGCGACCGGCGACATAATTACACTTCTTTACGACGCCATCAGGCGGAAATCGAGGGACCACTTCTTTTTTTGGACGCGGTAAACAGACCAGTCGTAGATGCGAAATTGACTGCAACATTCCGTGGCCCGGCAACAAATGTCCCTGTGGACGATTTTGGGGCGATCATCAGTGGCTTCCGCGACTTGTATCCAGCTTGAACCACCGCAGCCTCGGCAGAAACCTGCTAGTCCCGTGTCCCCAACGCTCCCGAACGAGTCTGTCTCCGAACGGGGAACGGGAAGAGCGTCGCTGACGGGCGAGGGGCGAGCACGTGGCCATCCCCTCCTTTTCTCGGCTTCCGATCGGTCTAACGCAACACGCGGCGTTGGAAAGTTGAGCCCGGCAAACGCCCGGCTCCACTCTTTTGCGTCGCGCTGCGGAGCGCTGAGCGAGAAAGAAACACTTCCTGGCTTAAAAAAGTTCGAGAAGACACTTAAGACTGCTTACCCTGTAGGAAAGCATTCGTACACGCAGCGCATTCCTACCAGCAGCGCGCCGCGTCTTCCTTTTTCTCACTGCGCTCCTGCGGTGACATCACGCTCTCCCCCCCCCCCCCCCCCCCCCCCCCCCCCCCTCGGCATCCGTGAACGTGCATCTGCGTTGCTCCGCTTTTCTCTGCGTTTTATTTTTTTCTGAGGCGCGTCCGCTTTGACCTTGAGCGGCCCCGGCGGCTGCCGCGACAAAGCATCTGATGTGACGCGTCGCAGCCAATGGGAATTTATTGTTTCGCTGCTACAGACTACAGGCATCGCTCATCCCCCCACACAGCCCCACTTTTCTCCCCCATCCCTACCTCCCTCAAGAGTACACGAGTGACTGTCTTCTCCCGCCTTTTTTTTATAACTACACAATGCATATTAGTACCATTACATGGGACAGGGAATTTCGCTGCCGTTATTCGCAGCTTGAAAAGCTGATAACGCGAGTTCGCTTCATGTGACACTTAATACTTTCGTATTAAAACTCCGTTCCGCATTCAAAGGCAGATACGGACCTCGAATGACATTAGTGCCTGATTCGAACCACTATTCGCACACAGACCATCCCAATAATCGCCTTCTGCAGGCTGCCGTCTACTGGGCTGTGTTACGTACTGCGAGCATGCGCATGATCACGATGCTCGTGCGTTCACAGCCCTCTGACTGGGCATTTTTGGACCGGGCGATAAGCGCTCCAAAGATGCATATTGTCAGGCAGAGACACAGCCGATCGCGTGAGCTCACCTTGGAGTAAGAGATCTTGTCGAAGTTCTCGCTGATTTCGTCCGGATTATCCACGGGCACAGAGACCGGGTGGGAGGATTTTAAGGCGTCCAGCTCCATGACGGACTGCACTTCGTTCACCACAATCTGGTCCAGCTGACGGAGGAAAAACACCCATCGTGAGCCGAGCTCAGAGACGCGCTTCGAGCAAACCATATCAGAAAACAACGCAGAAATCCGCCCACCCAACGCTTCGTTTCATTGGTGGACGAGATACTCGGCAGGAGTAATTAAGATAAGTCAGTGAATACCTGCTTCAGAAAGTATTAAAAGTACCACTCGAGTTTCGTTCACCAGAAAAATAACTTGCATTTACAAATACTTAGAAATATTATTCAATTAGTTTCGAAGACACTTCCGCATACCGTAAATCCGTAAAAAAAAGAAAAAAAAGAAAAAAAAAAGAGCTTGTTTTTTGGGCTGGCAACAGAAAGAATGAAAGAAACTCGGGACGAGTCCCGAGTTTGTTTGATTTTTTCTGTTGCCAATCAATGTTACCAACACACTGTTCACTTAATGTCCGTCTTCCCGAGCTTGTTTTCTTCGTCTCGAGTTTGTTTTATTCTTTCAATTGCCAGTCAATGTTACCAAAACGCTTTTCAGTTAATGTGATCGTTTCTTTTCTCGGTGTTTTCCTCTTATTTCCATCTATTTGATCTTTTATTGGCATTTTGAGTCTACACTTTTGGTCGTGGTTTGTTTTTTGTTCCGTGTTAGGTCGTCCCCGACTCCAAGTCTGCAATCGGTTCAGTTTTACGTTGGGTAGTATTTGAGATAACAGAGCGAGACTGACTTTACGAGCCGAGAGGCGAATGGTGGCATACTGAAAGCTCAACGTCACGCCTGCCACATTTTTCTGTGCGCAGTCATTCGCTGGTTGATCCAACCAAGAGCAGAGAGTACGCCGTAGCTTTGAGAACATAGTTGGTGTGAATCCTTTTGTGCGTGTTCTTGGCTTAGACAGCGCGCTAACGTAACGTGCGACAAAGTATTTCATTTCATTCATTTCATTTATTGTTCCCTTAAAGCGCCCGTAGGGCTTTACATAAGGGGGGGGGGGGGGGGGGCTTTGACAGCAAAGAAAAACAAAGAAAGGAAAAACACAGGGTTAAAGGTTGCTAAATATCGAGAAAAGTAGCAAGTGCAGCTCTGTATCCAGATGAATCTTGAATTGTAACAATATGTTCTGGCAGAGAGTTCCATTCTGAAAGTGATAATTGCAGTGGAGAGAATTTAAAAAGGTTGGTCCTTGGTGTTACCAGATGAACTTTCTGAGAATGGTCTGTACGGGGAGAAATACGATGAGCCGCAGGACAGTACAATTCTCTCTTTAAAGGGGCCTGATAATACAAAGCGTGTAATGAAACTAGTCTGGTCAGTTTCCTTCTTTCCGCGAGCAGTGGAAGGCCGAGTTCTTTTTTTTAGCGTAGTAATGCTAGTGTGTGTGTAGGTTTTAAGAACGAACCGAGTTGCCCTGCTTTGGATCGACTCTAATTTCTGTATTAGGTAAGCCTGGTGTGGGTTCCATGTTGTAGATGCATACTCGAGCTGCGGGCGAACAAGGGCAGTGTAAGCTACGAGTTTTGTCTCCCGGTTAGCCATATGTAGTGTTCGTCTCAAAAAACCGAGGCGAGTACGAGGCAACGTGACTAGGCAGGCGAGCTTGCTGTTATTCGATATACGAAAACCCGAGACGGAGGCCAAAAAAAAAAAAAAAAAAAAAAGGAGGGAAAACACAACCTTGAAACGTTCTGTTTGTCTTTTGTTTTTTGCCTCCGTCTCGGGTTTCGAGAGAAGGAGGAGCGCCTACCATTCCCCAGTCTTTGTGGACGACATCGGTGCCGATGTATTCGACGTAAGTGGCGAATCCCTCGTTGAGCCACAGGTCGTCCCACCATTCCATCGTCACCAGGTTTCCAAACCACTGCAACGGACGCATCGTTTCATTAGAAGCGCAGAGACGGATGAATGACTAGAGACCGACACACTGTTTTTAAACAGGGGTGCTATGTTGCGCTTTTTGGACTCCCAGGAGACTAGGAAGAAGGAAGTGACGTCAACGACTAGAGCAAATGCAGATTGGATGTTGACAGAAGAAAACAAAATCAACATCCAATCTGCATTTGCTGTGTCGTTGACGTCACTTCCTTCTCCCTAGTCTCCTGGGAGTCCAAAAAGCGCAACATAGCACCCTTGGTGAGCCTTTGCCCGCAACAGCAGTGAGCAGAGCACGCGTTCGGACACCAGATTTGTGTGAATTGTCTTCCCGTGCGTCGTGCCTACAGCAGCGCCCAGCCTGTGCAAATCTGGCGTGGCCAGAACAACCTTGAACCGAGGCGAAAAAAGAAAATCACGATTTGTTTGAAAAAAAAAAAAATCGGATATATTTTATTTAAATCGGAATAATTAGATTTAAAATTAATGTAGCTAGAAAAAAGTAATTACTTATCACTACATGTACTTTTAAACGTGGCATAGTCATTGACCAATCTATCAGACTGTTAAAAACAATGCGGATGAAATAATTACTGTACCAACATATTCTGGCGGGCTAGTCGGTTATACATGCTAAATTACAAATAGCGATAAGACAAGGCCAGACGAAGAAGTGAACAGGACAGACGCTAAAAAGCCTACAATCCGTTTTACACCCAACAGAAACCGCAGCCAAAGCCGGCGCTATATATGGCACCATACCGGCGCGAACGCGAGTACCCACCCGGTGCCCCACTTCACGCGCTCTCGTGCAAACGTAATTGCGAAGATTGTCACGTAAAATGGTTCAAGTATTGAAACTCTTTCTCAGTCAAAGATGGTGTGAAGACGCATTTCCCTCCCTAGCCCCTGTCCTGTCCACTGCTTCGTCTGTCCTCGTCGTAGCGTTATTTGTAATTTAGTAATTACTGTGCATAAAAGTACACTGTAATTAACAACGTTTTCTATATGTAGATCCTGCATGTGAATATTTTTAACTAGTACAAAACTTTAATACGTTTTATTACGTTTGAATTTTCTTCGAATTTACTTTTATTGTTTTCGTTTCTCGCTTTGGCCTTATGATTGATTGCAATGAAACCCCACATAACTGAAGAGCGAAATGTTTCGATTTGCTCCAAGGCTGAACACGAGCCTTTTTGCTCCTGTTCAACCTGCTACGCTCTTTCTTGCTCGACACTCTAACAAATTGCGCGTCTACTTACCCGCAAAACACTCGAAGAGCCAATCTCTGCGATATACGAAATCAGCTTGGCGAATGATGAGCCGGAACATCTGTCTAGACCTTAGAATTAATTCTGCGCTGTGGCATTACGCAATGCAAGCATGACGCTTTGCATTGCGTAATGCCACTGCCGAGACTTTATTTTCAGGTCTAAAAGAATATACCGACTTATCATTCGCCGATCTGATTTCGTAGATCGCAGAGATTGGCTCTTCTAGTGTTTTGCGGGTAAGTAGACACGCAGGCATTTTTTAGACCATTTTATTTAGATACAAAACGAATGCACGTAGAAAACACCAAATCACAGACAAAATAAAAAAAAATATTGAGGAATTATTTGCGAGAAAAAGGTTCCCGATTTAAATAATCGCCGTAAAACTGCGCTGATTTAACTCACAATCTAAATCACGATTTAAATCACGATTTAAATCACGATTTAAATCACGATTCAAGTCACAATTTAAATTATTTTGATTTTTTTTTTTGTCCAGCCGGCATGAAATTGACCGTAAATCGAACATGGCCGCACTAAAGTTAGGCATGTCTTGACGTTCTTAAAGTATGATGTCAGTGACGAATGCAGGAAAATGAACGTAACATTTGCCCTAAAACAAAACTTCAGTTTCTTTGTTTAGCTTCCGTCGTTGCATTTCGTCGAAATCATCCAAGGAATAACGAGGAGCAGAAGACGATATGACCCGGGAACACCATGTGTAGATCCCGGTGATAGCGGTGCCCGTCCCACCACGTGCTCCGTGGCAAAGTAGACGCGGGGGACGTTTCTTTTACCGGGTCCCGATATCATGCTTTCCATTTGCACGCCTTAGGCAAAGCAATCAGCTAATGCAACCAATGGGCGTCGTAATGCTATTGCGGTCACCGACAGCTAGAAGACGCAGGGCGTGACGAATTCCCGGCACCGTATTATCGCTCCGAAAACAAAGCCGAGCGCAAGTTCGTCTGCTCCTTGCGCAGGCGGTTGAGGTGGCGTCAGAACGCCGAGCTACGATTGGTTCTGATGTAAGGATCGTGGGCACACCTCGAGGCAGCTAGCCTCGAGGTCTACCGGGTCTACCCACTATCATTCCAATGAGAGCCAATCAAAGCTCGGCGTTTGATTGGCTCTCATTGGCTCTCACCGCCTGCGCAAGAAGCGGACGAACTTGCCTTGGATTTGCGGCATCGGCCGATAAGAAGGACCGGGGAAGAACAAATAAAAAACTAAAAACACGTCAACAGAATAAGCCGCGTCTCGAGCTTCTTAAGCTGCCATGGATCCGTCACTAAGGAATTCGGGGCATGGCTTATTATCTGCACGCTTCTTGATTCGTTCATCGGCATTCTTATCACCTCTTACTGCAAGCTCATTGGCCGCCAAGAGGTGAAAGGATGCTCCGGGGAGCGGTCAGTATGTAGAGGTAAGCTTGCCCCTCGTCATTACCTGGTGGGCGAGTTCGTGGGCCACCACCTCGGCCACTCGCTGCTTGTTGTAGGAAGAGGAGGCGCCCTTGTTGAAGAGCAGCGACGTCTCCCGAAAGGTGACCAGCCCCCAGTTCTCCATGGCGCCGGCGCTGAAGTCGGGCAGCGCGATCATATCTGGCCGGGAGAAGTCGGCGAATGAGAGCGGCTTCCGACACAGCGCACTGACGCACCAAATGGGTTCTCGAATCTTCCTGCTTGCATACTGGCCCGCAATGCACTCTAAAGACTATGCTCCATCTCAGCAGTTGTCTGCAGCAAAGGCAAAGGGATTGTCGTGGGCACGTGGCTTTCACATGTGCTTTCTTTTCACGAGAGCTTGTGAAAGGAAAGCAAATATGAAAGCCAGGCCCTCGCGCCTGTGCTTCTGCCTCTGCGGCACGCAACTCATGAGATACAGTATAATCATTCTTTCTCGTATCGGCTTGGGGAATGAAAAGGGTGAGCGGTTTCGAACCCCAGTGTTCATCATTTTACAGCGAACCCGTTAGACGCTAGGGCCTGGGAAAAAACTGAAGAGCCTTTCTACTTCACGTGAAGATGGAGGACCAGCGATGCTGCTATCTTTACGACGTCTAAAGGGGTGTCCAAACAGGACCTTACAAAACGCACGACTCCGACAAATTTTTTTTTCACGATTTGTCGGAGTCGTGCGTTTTGTAGTGTCCTGTCTGGACACCCCTTAAGGCGATGCCTAGAGAACGACGTCTAGCACGACCTCAAGGACAACTTCTAGGACGACGCCTAGAAAACGACGTCTAAAACAACCTCAAGGACGAATTGTAGGACAACCTCGAGCACGACGTTGGCATTATTAGATAGTGAGATCCTGACCCCTTGTTATCATCGCTAGGCATCGTCCTCGAGGTCGTCCTAGGAGTCGTCCTTGAGGTCGCTCTGGGCGTCATCCTGAGGTCGTCCTCTAGGCGCCGTCCTCGAGGTCGTCCTAGACGTCATCCTTTAGGCATTGCCTTAGACGTCGTAAAGATAACAGCTTCGCTGGTCCTCTTCCCTCACTTAAAGTGGAAGGGCTCTCCAACTTTGTTTGGTATGCCGCGGAAAAAACATTATTACTAGGGCTGGGCGTCGATTAAAAATTTTAACCAAATTAATCGCCAGCCTTTAATCGATTAATCGGTCTCGTTCATTTCCATGCATAATGATATTGTTCAAAAGTAACAATTGCATCTATTTTTTTTTTTGTGCTGAATATGTGTTAAACGATGAAATAATTTCAATTATGAATCATCTTCGATATACAGTTGAGAACAGTTAAAAAAATACTCGCACTCAAATATTATTACTTCAGCTCCATGAGGCAAAAATGTTTGTTGATATTCTCCGAAAACGTCGACCTCCTTTGATTGCTCTCAGTAGTCTCTGCTGCGCTCAACGGACACTCGCACGGCGTTGAAGTCGCTGGGACATGTGTAACCTTCTGCACTTGTTTGAAGTTACAAATCTCCCCCTTTCAGTTTACCTTAAGTCAATATTTCACCTACATTTTTCACCTCTTATAGGTGTGCTCGTCCATGTCTGCTTGGTGAAAGCATTGTATTTTTATTTAATTTTGGTTCGTCAAAATTTTACCGATTAACCGGTTAAACAAATTAATCGCGATTAAACCGTTAATCGATTAATCGGTAGGTTAATCCACCAATTGCCCAGCCCTAATTATTACCGTTGGATCATGCTATCGATTGCCGTTCTCATTTGTTGAAATAATAACTGCCGATTAACATACAGCTAGCATGTCAATTAGCACATAGATATAGCATCACGATCTGTCGATCGTGATGCTATATGCGGTATTCACTGGACGCCATGATTCGCGGCGCATTTTCGGAACTACACTGTAAGAAATTCCTGTGCGTCAGCTTACCCCCAAAACACTCGAAGAGCCAATCTCTGCGATCTACGAAATCAACTCAGCGAATGATGATGAGGCAGAACATCTGTTTAGACGTAAAAATTAATTCTGCCCCGCGGCATTACGCAATGCAAACATGACGCTTTGCAATTAGGAACCATGAAGCGATGCTTAGGCTGTCGGTGACTACAGCTCACTTTTTTTGCCTCTTAAGATCGACGATCTTGATTGCACTGAATGCACGCTCGTTCAACACGCATTCTATCCATTCTCGTTGTTCTTGGCAGACAATACGTGGGAGCTAAAGACGTAGCCACCTATAATACGATCCGCAGGCTCTTGGGATGAGCATTTAGGTAACCTTGGTTTCTCACCGACACGCGATCTTCGCGTGATAGTGTTTTGGGTAGGGTGCCTCAATGTGCTTCTGTTTAGGATGGTGCCACCCTTTGTAGTAGCCGATGCCGACAGCACGCGCTCACGAAGAAAATACAAAAAAAAAAAAAAGATTGACGAAAACGAAATGTCGCCATAGCAGCAGTCAGCGCCACAAACGCGTGCCGGGACACGCTCTTTCAAGCGCTTCTGAACAAAAACGAAAACAAAACGCGTGGAATAAAATGGCCAGATGCTACCACCCTAAGCAAAGCGCACATGGAAGAACCCTAGTTCTGGGGTGATCAGTGCGTAGGAAAACAACCTAAAACATGCCGAGAGCTCGCTTGCAAGGGCAAAAAGAAAACGAAGTATTCAAATTTCGGGGTTTCGACAACTCTTTCAGTCAACTCTTGAACTCGTTACGAAAATGGTGCACTACGCCGTCTACAGCGATGTTTGTAAAAGCGTGCTGCAGCGAAGGTAGATATGCACACGAAGACAAACGCTGCAGTCTTGAGGAAAATAAAGACAGCACCGAAAAAAAATTCTGACATCACAATTAAATCGCAGAGGCTAGAGACAGAACACCAACTTACATGGCCAAACTTTCACAAATATAATTATAGAACTGTAAACCCCGCGGCGTTTTTACTGAGCCCGCCATCCTAGTGAGCACGCGTTTTGTTTCATTCATTATTTCTTGTGGGCACCCCTGAAGATAGTGTCGTGCCAACGTTGCTAGACTAGCACAGTTGTGGAACTCCTGCAGAGGGGGTGCTCTTCCCCTTCACTTTCTTCAGTATGCCTCTTGTCGTTTGAAGCACCACCTAGATCTTTGTTTCGAAACTGCCTGTTTCACAAAGCACGGTGAAACACCATCTAGACGCTGTGCTTCAAAACATACGTACTAATACACTGCCCTCACCAAGGCAGCCGTCCCTAAAACGGTGGCGCGTCGAACGACCGGAGACGGGCCGGGGGTGCAAAGGGGGGTACTGCTTATGAACGCTGCTCGTAAGAGCAGCGTCGATGGGCAGTTCCATAATTGAGCTAATCTATAGGTGGTATTCATTGGGCAGCATATTTGAGGGCGATGTTCACAGCCTATGCCTAGGACGAGTCCCCCGTTGTCTTCTTCGAAGTGCAATCTTAGTCGTGTGCAATGCACGGTTTGGAAGCGTGGAAGCTCATCGTCAGCTCGAGCTTGGCAGCAACCAACGTTACTAGATTAGCTCGGACCTGCCGACGCTGCTTGGGCGAGCAGTACCCCCCTTTCCCCCCCATGGCTCCTCTAAAGCCTTCCACCGTTCGACGCGCCACCGTTTTGGGGGGAACGGCTGACATATGGTAACTGCGGCGTATCCTATGAAATACGTGTTTCGAAGCACAGCGTCTAGATGGCGTTTCACCCTACTCTATGAAACACAGAGTTTAGAAACGAAAATCTAGATGGCGCTTTAAACGATGGAAGGCGGACTGAAGGGAGAATTCCAAGACTAAGGTAATGGCGAGGTTGGATATTTACATGTACGTCTTAAAAGTGACGTAATGGCGTCTGATTGGTGGAGGCAATAGACCTTTTGCCAAATTAATCAAGCATCAAAAAGAATGCCGGGAACGTAGGAATGACGGCAGCCCGCGCAGCCGGGAACGTGCTGCGCGGGCTGCCGTCTTCTGCTCTAACTATTCGAAAGCAAAAATCTAAAACAAAGGGCATTTCGCACGCGCGTTCCGTGGACGCTTCATTTTGGCCATGCACTTTGAAACTTTTCGTATTCAATGGCGGCCATAGCTGCGTGCTCGACTGCTGAGCGCTGTTGCGTGGCAGCTACAGCTGTTCTGCCACGTGGCAGCCACAGCTGTTCTGCCACGTGTATTCCGCACCATCAAGATTGCCGGTCTTAGCAGCCTGATAATGTGAGCTCGTTCTGAGCATGCGCTCTGAACATCGCCCTCAAATATGGCGTCCAGTGAATACTCCCTATTAGAGGCGAGATGTTTCGGTAGCGCCCTCGTTCGGTTACCTTTCGTGCCGTCATTACGTTGTTAACAGCAAGTTCGATGGTGTTTTAATGGGCATGGTAGAAGCCTGAAATCATAGCGCCCTCAAATCAACACTGCCAACCCCGTCAAAATTCAAGCTCTTACATTCCTCTTATTTCAGTCGATGAGACATCCTTTGCTGACGTCACAGTCAGCATGCGGCCAATTGTGGTGGGCCGACCACTGCGACGATTTTGATCGCTCACGTCACCAATAGAGAGTATTCACTGGCGGCCATAGCTGTGTGCGCGACTGCTGAGCGCGTGCTGGTAGCCAGCTTTCACAGTTCTCTTGAAACACGCATACCAAACCATCAAGATTGACGGTCTTAGGAACCTATTAATGTGAGCCCGTTCTGAGCATGCGCCCTAAATAGCACCCTCAAATATGGCGTCCAGTGAATACTCACTATAGGAAAGACGAGCACGGGCAGCGCGTGTACCTACGTTTCCACCATCCTCTTTGATGCTCGGGTAATTAGGCGAAAGGTCTATTTGACTCCACCAATAAGACGCTTATTCCGTGACCTTTTAAAGCGTACATGTAAATGTCCGACCTTGCCCTCCAGGTGAACACCAACTAAGGCAGCTGCATGTGCAGTTGGTGATATGGGCTGATATGGGCTCGAGCACATTCATCTTTCTGGTGCGCGTGCACAACTTTCATTGGCGCTCGAGGTGCACGAGCGCACGAGCGCGCCTTCACTTCATTGCCCAAAAGAGCTGGAGTAAATCTCGGTGCCAAGAAGGCGACTACGCTGTGTATACAAGCCCCGATCCACGTGCACGCTCGTGCATCTTCGCAGCCAAGGACTTGGCAATCGTAA